GACTGACGGTATAACTTCCGTATCTAGAGGCTAATCATTTCCGACATATGGAACAGAAGGCGTGTACCGTGATGTTCTACTACTACTTATGCACTCCTTGCTACAAGATATAATGATATATATATATATATATATATATATATATATATATATGAGAGATAATGAAAGTTATTTGTAAAAAGGTTGTCCTGGCAGATAGATATCTCGTTTAGTCGGAAAAAAAATATCGACAACTGCGCCATTTCGACACGAAAAAGATTTAATCTATATCAGTCAAGAGGAGAAGAAAGACGAATAAAGATAATCAATGACTGCTGTCTAATGACTTTTTTTTTATTTGAATAAGTCTAACACCCACAGACCGTGCATTTTTGAGCATTTTTGTTTTGTTGTTATTTTTATGTTATTTGAGATGGATTCGTGCGTGTACAATTTTAGAAACAAAAGATTTTGCGAACAAAAAAGAATTACTGATCAAAACTATAGGGGTCGGGTGGACTTTAAGAGTCCCCCCAAATTAGGTTAGTGTACGTGCTGTCTAATGTTAGTTGTTAGTGAGTTCGTGTGTTTGTTACTTCACGATCTAACGGGTGACGTTAAGCAGAGTCGCTTGCATAAACTAGTTATTATGTTTTCAAGTTCAATGTCATGTAAGTCAATATACTAACAATAAAATAAGTAGACTTTGTAAGATTAATTGATTTCTGAAGGATACGATTGCTGTTTTGTTGTCTGTATGGACGATAAAATTTGTTTCGGTAAGAATTTAAATTTTTTTTCATGTCAAGTTAAATTTATCATCAGAATAATGACCTACAAAATCCTACAAAGTCTGTACAAAATTATTTATGTTTTAAATTATACAGTACAATACACCTAACAATACAATTAATATCGTTCGTATAGAAAATGAAAGAAAAATCTGTAGCATGCCATGTTCTCATTACGTCAATGCTGCTCCGTTATCCTACGCAGGCTTGTTACGTATGGAATACCTAAAGGCATTAAGACAGGGTTTTAGAACCGGGCTTATGTATTAAAATACTTTCTACATGCCTTATTTATCCAAATTGTAATATTACCTATTGTGCCTATATGAAATATGTTTATCTATACTAATATTATACAGAGGTAAAATTTGTGAGTTCGTGCTGTTGTAGGGAGTAATCTCTGGATCTACTGAACCGATTTAGATGAAATTTGGTTAGAATATACTTTAAGACCCTGGGAAGGACATAGGATACTTTTTATCCCGGAAATCATCCCTTAAGGTGGTAAAAATGGGGATGAACATTTATATTGGGAAGCGAAGCGAGGGTGAGTCGATAGTTACTTATATTTTTATTTCGTTTCTCGTGTATTATATTCGAATTATTATTGCTTATTATCGTCGATTACCACGCAAGGTTCTTAATTAAACTGTAATGGAAATTATACTAAGTGCCTTTTGCCAGTTCTTCTCAGGACTGAAGTTTTTTCATTCCGAACTGGAACGTTCAGTAAGAAATATGTAATAATTAATTACTGAATAAAATATTTTGTATTTTGATTGTGTTGGCTATTTACTTTGCAATGGATACTGTAGATGGTATATGAATACTCAATACTTTTTTTAATCTTTTTGTATTTGACAAGCCCGTTGCCGTCATTTGCCTGCCAAATTATGGTGAATTATACAAAAAATAAAATATATGAAAACTCTCGTTTATAGATATCGTTAGCTCTTAACTGAACACAATAAATATTTAATGGCACAATAAATCTCGAGCAAAACAATTACTGTTACTTGTAATTTAATACAAAGTAATGAGTAATGATATTTATTTCTCGAAACTACATACGTAAGGTTGTTTTTTTTTCTTAGACTAATACTACTAAGTAATAATTACCTATGTGATTTGACATTTTATCGTTTACTAACGGTTTACCCTTGCTTCGCTCGTCCTTAGGTATGTTTTAAATAGATATGAATAGTTCTTGCGAGTGTACCTTAAGAGAAAGACTTACGCGATTGCAGATTTTTCTGTAGGCCTCATTAAGTCCTACAATTTTCTAGTACATTGTTTTGATGTATCTCTTAAGGTTTAGCCAGCGTTAGCCATGTAAATTTCTAAGGATGACTCGAGAGAACCAGTTATTGTTTTCCCGTGGGAATGAAATATTTTCCTGTAGCTTTCCTAAGTGTTGACGAGTAATAAGATAAACACTACACAAAATTTAGTTCAAGTCGGTACAGTAGTTTTTGCGTGGAACGCGCACATCGATTTTGCCAAGTTACTATTTTATTATATGTATAGATATTTTCATTTATTCCACTTAAAATATGGTTATAATTTTTTTTGGTGCGCCTTTCATATACGTCGGATGATTCGGCAGGTGACTTTCTTGTTAGTCTTGCTCTATTGATGCTTCAACCACAAAAAACCACTCCTTTCAATTGTTTAGAGAAAAAATATAAATAGCTCTGTATCGCAGGCTCACGAATCTCAAGTCCAATGACAAATGTTCATTATATTTTCGGCCATGACCCAAATCGTGTCACGTGAAACCTGACATCTTACCTTAAACTCACACTCTGACCACAGTAACCGCATTTCAAAATAATTTGCAGAGAAAATAGATATGTGTATGTGTGTATGTACGTTCTTCTCCCTGCCCATTTCCCAATCACTTGGGGTCGGCGCAGTATTTTTTCTGTACTGCTGATAGGATTTGGCAAAAGTTTTACGACCGGCCGCCTGCCTGACGTCAACCCTCCTTGGAATGCTATTGTCTCTCTTTATCTGAATGGTGTCGCGGAAGCGATCTTTATATATATAATTCTTCTGTGAGTGTGTATGTCACTGAACTTCTCTCAAACGACTGGACCGATTTTGATGAAATTTTTTCTGTGTGTTCAAGGGGATCTGGGAATGGTTTAGATTCACAATTTGAATAATAATTTTCATCAAAAAAATTATTAAAAAAAGTTTGAAATTTTCAAATTAAAGACGAGTAGACAGGACAACGTCTGTCGGGTCCGCTAGTATATATATATATATATATATATGTATATATATATTATATTACACTACTACGCAGGAACTAGATGTTTTCCCAACTGGTGATAAAGTATAGCTTTCAGTAACTTATTATTATAGATGACTAGCGGAAAAACAAATCGATATTAAATATAATGTAAATGTATTTAGAATTTTTGTTTGTTTGTCTGTCTGTCTGTCTGTCTGTCTGTCTGTCTGTCTGTCTGTCTGTTACCGCATCAAGGAAAAACCACTAGAGGGATTTTGATGAAATTTGGTATGATGATAGCTGGTTATCCGGGTCAACATATAGGATACTTTTTACCGCAGGAAAATGTCTCACTTCTAAGAAAGAATACAAAAACTGCAATGTAAAAGTATAATAATATGTCAAATCTTAGAATTTGGTTTTTGGTCATCTGAACGCGGGCGGAGCCGCGTGTAATGCTAGTGCTAAATAAAATAAACTTTTCATTTAAATATGCCATGTTAGTTTTTGCATTATGTAAAATATATTATTATCAATATCTGAATGGGATTTTACATGTCGACGTCACGCGTCGCACCACCCCCCAGTGCGTAGTGCGAAATCGTATTATACGCGTAAGTCTTCCCTGGGTTCAAGGGCGGAATAAGTGTATACGTATATATTATGTACAGATATATCGATCGATTGTTTTATGCATGCACTTTACATTTAACTCTCTCTCTTAACAATTACCTGAATGTATACTCGTTTTTTTCTGTTCCCTGCAATTTTTGGGAGATCAATTCGCGAATATTGGAGATACTGCGAAGAACAACTCAGTAAAACTCTGTAGTTTAAAGATAAAAATTAGTTATGTTAGGTATCTTTGCAGAGTTACAATATTTTTCTTTGCAAATGTTGATATTATATTAATAGCTTGCTTCCCAATACAAATTTTCATCCCTATTTTCACTCCCTTAAGGGTTGATTTCTGGGATAAAAGGTCCTATGTCCTTCCCAGGGTCTCAAACTATTTTCTTACCAAATTTCATCTAAATCGGTTCAGTAGATTCAGAGATTACCCCCTACAACGTGACAAACTCACAATCTCACAAACTACCTCTTTGTAATATTAGTATAGATGTATGATGTAGGATGAAAATAAATAAAACTCGCTGCTTATTGTAAAGCATCTATACACCAAAAGGTCGGCATTCTCTAACGTGCCGGTTTGTATTTATTTTAACAATTCATTTGTGAGTGTTAACTTATATATATGTATTTTATTTAAACTACGGATTTAAAGAAGGTTATATATTTATCCACTCTTATATACGGAAACGCAAGTACAAGGCCTAGTCGGATTTTAATATCTTGTGAAGAATGATTGTATTACCTAATACTGTTAGAAGCTGGCCTTGGTTTAGATTTTTGTATTATGAAGCTTCATACCTAAACGATGCCACACACATACGGACACTACCCAGACTTCCTACATACGTATAGTATAATAATATCCTACAATGTATTTAATTATTATTTTTATTACGCCCAAACACATGTACGGACCGACGTTGATAGCGTTATCTACGAACCCAGAGTGATGATAGTTCAATGAGCCATAACATTCTCTACAGTAAAGCCCTGTTTATAAATACTTATTTCTATTAATAGCATAAATCAGTTCAATTACCACACATTGTTTTTGTTTACCTAATCCTGTTGATGTATAGGTGGCTGTAAATGATATTTTCTTATAGTATAATATGGCGTATCTTCATCAAATAATATTTAACTGAACCAATTTTGATGCTACTTCTACGGTAAAATAGAGAAGCCTGCTCTATGTATTGCATTATGTAATTAAGACTTTCTATTTCAAGGCTTTTCGTGATTTTCCGTTGAAATAAGCAAAACCGTGTATGTTACTACAATAAATCAACAAATTTTCATTTTTTTTTAAATTAATAAAAATATTTTTTATCTATATCTAAGTAAAAATTAACCTCCAGGACACATTCGGGCGCGCGAAGAACTGGGTGAAGGAGCTCCAGAGGCAGGCGTCACCGTCCATCGTGATCGCGCTGGCGGGCAACAAGAGTGACCTGGCCGCCAAGAGGATGGTCGAGTTCGAGGAGGCGCAGGCCTATGCGGACGAGAACGGTCTGCTCTTCATGGAGACCAGCGCGAAGACCGCCATGAATGTGAACGATATATTTCTAGCTATCGGTGAGTTATTGGAAATGTTTATCGTACCCGCCATATTGTAGTATTCCATATATTTTGTCTAACGAAGGCGTCTAGACAGGGCAATCGTGTGAGGTGAGATGCTTGTGGGGAAGTCCCGACTGTCATAATTACTTTTTTATTTATATGAAATTCAAGAATGAATGATAAGGTATGACTGTAACTTGCCAGGAAATGGCTAACACTTTCTTAGATTTACGCGGATATTTGACATTTTAAATAAAACTTATCTTTTCGGATTTTTTCGCGGATTTATTTTCATTTTTTGACGTTACCGACGTTTTGAATGCTTTACAGTATTTTATTCAATCACGGTCTCGGGAAGCTGTTCGAGATGTAATGAACCAAAAGTTAAAATAAATCGTCGAAAAAATCCAAAAAGATAGTTTTATTTAAAAGGAAATGGCTAGTTTAATTTCTAAACCGTACGTCATCAAAGTTGGTATGTGTGACAATCATTGCATTTGGCGGGATTTAAAAGTTAAAGGCCATCTACTGTAAGGACTTATATATTGGATGGTACCATCTTGGCTTTGTACATATGTATTTACAATACATTTTACAATATTCAGTGTGTCAATATATGGAAATAAGCATATTTATGCAATATCACTCGCACACCACCTGTACAGTGTACACACGTTGATGGATGTTAGAAAACTGTGTGGACGTACACACAACTCTTCTAACTTACATTATAAACGTGTGAATAATAAAAAAATGCACATTTTATATATTTAAAAATGTGGTTTTTTGTCTGTCAATAGGTTACTCTGTATGGGAACATGTAAATATTTGTGGAACTGTGTGTGTCGTCGATTGCTCTATTTTGTTTTTATATAACAGATGATAAGGCAGATGTTGTTTTAAAAATATTTAGCTTTATGAAAACGTGTTAGTAAGTATTAATTCTATTAAATATATTATATTGTAGTCTTTCTTATGTTAATAGTTACGCTTTTTAGTAAATATTCTTAGATATGACATAAAGGTTTTTTTTTTACAAATTGACAATATTTAGAAATTTTATGTTAGGTTAGATTTTAATCTATCTAAAATAGAAACAAAGCGAAATCTGTACATGATATTTTTTTAAAACAATGACTGTTACGAATTGAGTACAGAATGTACCCCATCAATAGTTGTTTAAATTTTTGTCTGTTTGTCTGTATATCTGTGTGTATTTCACGCAAATACTACTGAACCATCAACATTTAGGATACCTTTTGCTACAGGGAAAATCTTTCATTCTCACGTTATCACACAAAAACTATATAAAAGTCCTCGATAGTACGTGTGTATATCCTAAGGTACACTCGAAACAATTATTTATATATTTAAAATGTACCTAAAGACGCACCCGAGCGAAGCGAGGGTAAGTCGCTAGTTTATTATAATTTTGTAATGTTACCCATACTTAATATTATATAAAATGCGGTAGTGTTTGTTTGTCCTTCTTTCACGTCGAGACAGTAACGGATTGGCGTGACTTTTTGTGTGGAGATAGTTGGAGGGCTGGAGAGTGACATAGACTACTTTGTACCGCGGGAGATTATTTGATTCTCACGGAAAAACACATTATGATACAGCCCACAACAACTCATCATACCTATGTATATTATATTTATACTACCATAAATTATATTTATAATACTATACATTATTATTAATATCATATATAATAATAATATATGGTGTATCTATTCCATACTCAACGTTAAACTTAAAACGCACCTAGGGACGAATCCGAGCGAAGCGAATGTGAGTCGCTAGTAATAAATCAATTCGCTCAAATTTTTGATTCAATAATGTATGTATGTATATGTTAGTAATGAAGTAAACTCGGTACAATTCCAGCCAACAAGTTACCAAAGAGCGAGAGCGCGGGCGGCGGCGCGGCGGGCGGCGCGCGTCGCCTCAACGACGCCGACGCGCCGCGCGCCTCCTCCTGCTGCAAGTGATACCCGCAGGTGACCATTTGTTTTATTCAAATGAAACTTCTTTAGAATCGTTGTGATTTGAAACTAGATGAAACGTAAATGCAACACTAGAAAGAGACAAAGACATAAACATAAAGGATTAAGCTGGCGAGAGAATGAGATAGAATACATTGCCATGTTGCCGTGGTAACCGTTGTTATTGTCTGACAAATATAATATAACATTATATTCTTTTCGTATATTATGATATTCTATAAATATATGATTGTAATATGCTTAACATTTGACGACACGTTTGGCTCAGTTAGTAGTGCCCTACTTGCTGTGTCAGCGGTCGCGGGTTCGAGTACCGCTGGGGGCATTCATTTGTGTGATGAGCACGAATGTTTGTACTTCAGTCATGGGTGTTTATATTAATAATATGTATGTATTTAAAGTTTTATATGTGTAGTTTATCAACCACCTGGTATCCATAGCACAAGCCTCGTAGCTTACCATGGAACTAAATGGTGCTGTGTGTTACTGTCCCAACATATTTATATTTTACGCCTAATATTTGTTATTTAATTATTGATTTGATTTGTAATTGCCAAAGAAGTTTTACTTCAATCACTCGTAAAGGTTATACGCACCCGTTTTTTTTATGTACATATTGTTTTTTGTTGCAAAGATGCATATCTTTGACAATAATTATAAACTGAATAACATGACTTTTTTTTATAAATTTTAACTTCCAAGTTGACATGAGCCCGAATGAATTCCCACCAAAATTTGTAATAATATGTTGTTTTTGTGACGCTCTCTTGCACTTTATTTTAGTCGGCTGTATTTATTTTGTTTGCATCTTTGACAAGTATAAGCTGAAAATCATGACTTTTTATTAGTAGACACGTACATGTTGATGTGAGCTAAAATAAATTCACACGAAAATAAAAAAAATAAAAAATGTATTTTTTTTTAAGTGAAAACTCGTATAGGCAGGTTTGGATGGGGAGTAAATTCATGTAAGTCGTCATCGACATGGTCACGTGACGTGCTAACGCTAACACTCAGAGTGCCTATAGATGTCAAAACCAGATAAATGTAAACAGTTTTATTTACAAATTTTAATTTAAGATCAAACAGTTAATTTGAATATCCAAAAATAACAACTGTTTCGTTTGTTTATAATTTTAAGTTTTCACTTCTGTTTGCAATCCTTATGACTTGTTTTTTTCTTTTAATTTTACAGAGAAAGTCGCAACAGATCGAGGGCGCGCGCGCGGGCTAGCCGAGCTGCGGCCGCGCGCCGCCGCCGGGCGCCGTGCGGACACACACACGTTCCCACTCGTACACACACGGTCCCACACACACACACACACGTTCATACACAACCGTTCATTCATACATTTCACACTTGATCAAGTTGATTTTACACACGTAATTGATTCTACAATAGCGTAACGTTACGCTTTGTCGACACCATCGAACCAGTCACCGTCCGTTCCGAACAGTTTTGGTCCATTGGACTATTTAGTTAATTCAAAGTGAATACCCCGATGGACTTTTTGGATGAAAATGTTGGACCAAAATTGATGTGACTAGAGCGATAGTGTAGACCAGACTTTACAATCATTTTATTATACTTTGAATGAAATGTCCGTAGATCATTATTATTGTTTAATTTTTTTTTAATTTTAGACATAGCTTAGTTAACAATTGGGAGGGTTAATGTAATTTAAATCAATTAAAATTAACAATTTATTTAATCGATTTATTTATTATGTACACACGATCGTGCCACGGCGCCCGGGGCCGCGCGCCGGCGTCGAGCATATTACTAGGATAACTTATAACGTAAACAAATATAAATATATACTTATATAAAAGGTTTATTTCTGTCATGTTATAGCTATTTCGTTTCTCCGTAGCTTAAGGTCACTTCTGGGTTACTTTGAATAGAACGGTGAATAACAGTGTAGATATTAGTGTCCCATACAGCCCGCTCTCGTACGATGTTATGGCGGGTACACATTCTCGGATGGGTTTCACTGTTTGGTCATGCTCGTTTAATAACGTCTCGGGTATCTTAAAAATCGACAATAAATCGTGATATCGCGAGACATTCAAAAATATTTAATATCGTTATAATGTGATTAGTGGTGGTCTCGCCGAGAGTGTGTACACGATTTTAATTGATTGTATTATAATAAAAAAAAAAGTTTCTTAGAATTGGCTGTCTAATACTAATTATGTACTAGTTTGTACGTGTTTCGATTTTAAAATGTCCTATGTTGATATGTAAATAACAGCTTAAATATTATAATATATGTACCTACGTGTCACATCGTCTGACGCAACTTTGGTTACTCGGACTTACGAGAGATTCTTCAATTATATTACAGTGTATTTTGTCCACAATAATTAGCCCATGGACGATGGCCTTTTTGGGATTTTTTTTTTAATCTAAGATTGTTTTTAAGTATATTGATATTCTATATAATCATGAATGCTACTTATTTCCCATCAAGTTATTGTTGTGTAAACTCTACACTGAAAACTTATTTCGTTATTTTATATAAGCGTTAGATGTATGTATGTATTTGATTTGATCATTTAATTTGCCGTCCCGCGAGTGTAGGACGTTAGTTCAAAACATAGTGATGGTAGTGACAGGTAGCGTTAACGCGGTATAGATAGTTGGCTTTAATTCATACGAATGTGTTACGAGCTCGCTAGCGAGTACCGTATGATACTTTAACATCGTAATATTATATATTAATGATATATTATGTGAGTGGTCGGTCCGGGTTCCGTTTGTTCGTCACACATGTCTCGTCGAGAACGCATTCCAAGCGGCAACGCCCGCGATTATTAAATTAACTTATTGTTTGGAGAGCCATGTGATTTCTTCATAGACATCTGGTTTTTTTTTAATTGGAATATTTAAAATAATCTATTGCCATTGAATATTTGTAATATGAAGTGACGTTAATGTAATATCTTTTTTTTTTCATTTTCAGTCGTGGCTCTGTTATATATTCTGTAATTATGGTGCTTCCACACAGCAGCAAAACTTTTTTAATTTTCAGTTAAATGTTAACTATTGTTAGATGTTTTCAAAGCTTCCAAAATGATAAAATATGTTGTAGATCACCATTACATAAGCCAGCGCTGCTGTCGCCCGGGTTTAATGAGTTCTAACAAAAATTACGATTGTTATTTTTTGCTTCAAATTGTTTTGTTAACAAATATTAGAAATTATTTAATAACAAAAAACCATTTAATAACTTTTGTTATAAAATGTTTTTTTGCGATAAAAATTACCTCCTGTGTGGAAGCACCTTTATAAATATGTATCCAGTGGAGTCGATAGCTGCAATAAACAGTAGTGCATTTGTACATCAATCATTTACTTAGGATCATAGAATATAAATCATTATAATTGATTCAATTAAATAATATTTTTTTAATGAAAATATTTCACAATGTAATAATGTTAACCCCTAATCGTTGTAGTGGTACATCTGTGAGTGAATGTCCATGTTCTTAGAACACGCTTTCGGTAAATGAATGCATTTGAAGCAACCCTCATGTATAGATGGTCCATCTCGTGTGTAGGCTCGGCTCATTTAGCTCTATGATACCGTCAGTTCAACGTTTTGGTGTGTGTCTATCTGTCTGTCTGTCCCATAGACACAGTATATTTTGGCTTAAAATATTTTAAATGTTTTAACGCGGATTTATAATTTTTAAGGGCATCAAACATGTGCAATTCGTAAGCTTATCACCGCTTCGGAACAACTAAATATGTATTTATATTAATGGTTAGTAACCGTATAATGTGCGCGTGCGTGTCGCGGCCGGGCGGCCGGCGGGCGGCGGCCGGCGGCCGGCGGACGTCGGGCTCATATAGTATGTTTTTGTATTGTGTAAATATTTTGGATTTATTAAGATTATTATATTGAATAAAAAAATATTGTAAATGATTCGATTGTTTTTTATTTGTTTGTGGTAGTTTTATAATCATTTATGACTTATTCCTCACTCTCTCGATTTCCCAAGCAAGCGCGTTATCGCCAGGCGCCAACTCACATTTGGCCAGCGTAGTGGACTATAGGATTCTCTTATTGAGAGGCCCACTCCCAGCAGTGGGACGGTAAAAAGGGCTGGATATAATACAACACTTATTTGAATTAGTTTTTTTTAAAGTTAATAATAAATACTGTAAATTATTAATTAATGTGTTGAACTTGCCATCTTTTAGAATTTTGACTAGACATGTGTTTGTAGCTCTAACTTTGGACAGCAAATTAATCTAAGCTAAATAAATTTTACATTAAAGTTCCACATAATACTAAAATTAAATCCACGAACTTGGCCATTACTGATTATTGAAACTTGCTTATATTTTCCTTCAATTTCAATAACATTATGGAGTAAAATAAAAAACACAAACACATAAAATTTTAAATACTTTATTAGAAGGTTTTTACATTAGTCAGTACTACAAGATAACACGTTATAATAAATTTTAGAGGCTAGCCGCTTTCATATATTGTTATTACAAAAATATTTGTTTAATTAAAATATATTACTGACTGCCTTTAACAATTTCTCGTTACAAATGCAAAGGAACACATGCTAAATTTTAGGAGGAATAAAATAACATTGAAAATGGCGTTTCTATAATGGCCGACAAACATGACTAGGATAATGCATAAATATAATTCAATTCTCAATTTGAATTATTAAAAATCTGGCAATTTCTTTTTAAATTTAAGTACTGCTATTTGAGAGGTAGATATAATTTAATAATTGGATTTACATTCATTGGCACTAAAAAACCTGTACAAATAATATGTATACTTAATGTAAGCATTCGAATAATTGAAATTATTTTAACATAATTACATAAAGCCTCAATATTCAAGATATTGTGAACACAACTTAAAAATAACATATTTTCATTCGAATTGGAGTTCAAAAATTAATGTCAAATAAATGGAAACTTAACGTTAAAAACAATTAATATTTTATAAATAATAAAGATTATATATAATTAAATATGGCTTTTATATTTGTAAAAAACATCTGACATTTCGCATCAGGCTAATAGTATAGAAAAAATACTTTCAAGGAGTGATAATAAAAAGCCTTTCAATGAAACTCACTTGTGTATAACTTTATTTGTGCAGTCCGTATGTTTGTTTTATATTAATTACCTAAAATAGAAAATTATGGCTCAAATAAACTGGCAACATTTTAAAACTTATTCTATTTTATTTTAATTTTTAATAAAAATACATTGGAAGCCTTGAATTAAGTACATTAAAATATATATTTAGTTAAACTGATGATAATATAAACTTAATAACCATAGAAAAAACTACCTTTATGAAAAGTGCAAAAAGAACATTCCCTTCACTTGCTAATAATATTCAATATATTTTTAACTAATTTTAATTCGTCACTATAATGCTGCCTAAAATCGATATTCGGTATAATCGATTCAAGGTAAAATGTTACAAAAACGATAATTATCGTATATATCGGTTAAAAATTAGGTTTTTTCGTTATTCGTTTGTTTTAAAGAGTTTCTCGTCTTACAAAAGCATAGAGCGAAAACAAAATATGCCTTATTGCTTCTACATACAGTACACTTCACATTGCTCAACATTTTTTTGAGGTTTTAGCCTAAAATATACAAAACTCTGTGTAAAATAGCCTTAAGTATGGCAAGACTATTATATTATGTTAAAGTAAGTTTGGAGAGATTAAATTTTTTTGGCATAAATTATATAAAATTATCTATAAACAAATAACATAGATCTTAAAAACTATAACTTTCAAACTATCAATGTTAGAACACTACGAGATTTCTATTTCTGTTACAAAAACCACATATTATGTCCATTATTTTACTTATAAATATAACCAAAAAATAAGACACTTCCAGATATTCTTTATTCATATGTCAATCTCATACATATTACCTTTCTATTAGGAATTTTGAAATTCAACTTAGTTACAGGGGCCGATTCAACTAAAGGACCTCAACAAATAAATGTCAAGAGATGGCGTTATGTATCGATTTATCTTTCTCCTTCCTATCTTATCCAGATAAATGAAATTCAAGTATCTGCTTGTAATGTCAAAATAACAGCTTTTTACTGAGTGCATATGAAAGTGTACAAGGTATTAATAAGAAAAAAAAAAACAATTTCAAAATTTTTGTCTGTCTGTTTGTTCCTTCTGGCCAATATTCTAAACGGCTGGACCGATTTTGACAGGACTTTCACTGGCAGATAGCTGATGTTATAAGTAGTGACTTAGGCTAATTTTATTTTTTTAAAAGAATCAGGGTCCCGCGCAAAACAAAGTAAACAAAAAAACATGAAATCTTGAACAAAAATCTACGTTAGAGACGCACTCGAGCGAAGCTAGTATTAGACGCTAGCCTTAAATACATACATAATATATACATAGTAAATCTAGTACTGTGTTATCTGTACATAAAATAGATAAGACATAGTGTTACAACACGCAGTTATATTGTGATCTCACAGCTCGTCATCGAACCGGTCGCCGTCGCCGTAGCCGGCCTCGCTGCCGACGAACACGTAGTGGTGTTCGAGGACCTCATCGTACGAGAGCAGGCCGTCGTTGTCGTCGTCCGCAGACGCGAACAGATGGTCCACCTCTTCTAGAGCTATCTCTCTGTGTGGGAGCATTGAATATATGTTTTATACATGGATCAAAAAAATACTAGATACACAATCAGCGACAAAAAATATCCTCACCGAATGAGCGCTCATTTGAACATTTGAGTGCGCTTTTAATGCTTGTTTTGTGAAAACAACTTTAAGCATTGGATTTAAGAATTTTGGGGTTATAGATTTATTAATTGTAATGTTATTAAGCTGACAAAGCTGTTTGTCTATTTGCATGTACTTTAGAAAAAATTTGACAACGCCAAAACAAAATTGATTGTGTAATCAAAATTTATTTTAAAATATATCCGAAAAAAATAACATAAAAAATTTAAGTAATTGAATTGAAAATGTATCATCAAGTTAAAATTTAATTTAAAAAAATAGGTGAAAATTCCACCATGAGGACAAATGCAACAGTTATATTTCTATGAAAACTACCTAATAGCGTAATCACGAAAAAATCACTACATAATATAAAACAAAGTCGCTTGCTGCTGTCTGTCTGTCTCTATGTATGTTTAGATCTTTAAAACTACATGTATATTATAGTACAGAATAACCGAGAAATTCAAAGATTTCTATTTCATACCAAACAAACGTTTAAAAACACCCAGGGACGAACCCGAGCGAAGCGAGTGTGAGTCATTAGTGTGTTTTAATAAGTTAGAAAAGCGTGAAAGGGCCCCGAGAATTGCATTGCGTAGGGGCCCCCGGCATGGTTACTTCGGCCCTGAGCGCGAGAGGCGAGAGCGACACTCACTCGTTGTCGGGCACGAGCCAGCGCCGCAGCTCGTCGGCGTCGAGCGCGCCGTCGCGGTCCGCGTCCAGCTCGTGCTCGAACTTGTCGCGCTCCGATATTAGCCACTCCTTGTCCTGCTGAGACCCTGCACGATCACAATGTTACAATAATAATATATTCGTATAATTAATAAATCTAATTAACTAACTTTATAAATTAACTCAAAGTTAGGTAAATGACCGACAGTTAAATTAGATCGGGTTTTGGAAACTTCCTGAACTAGGTTAAAAACCTGCTTAATAATACATATTTTCAGCAACTTAATTTTTTACTTTAGCTTTTAACTTTTAATGCTTGAATTAAGCCTCGTTGCTTTAGAGACTAGCGAGTATATCTGCAGATCCGGTCCTGGGTTTGAGCCCCGGGTGTGGACCAAATAAAGTTATTTGGTTCCGTAATCACATCGAGTTGGGAAGTCAGGCATGTGTGTGTCTGAGAACACGTTAGTTGTCAGTCCTGCGAACCATGTGTCACCGTGAGTATCGAAATATCAACCAAAGGATAGAATAATAATAGAGAGTGGATTGTGTCTGTCATACATAAAAATAAAAAAAACATCGAAAAAATCTCATATGAATCTATGCTATAGATGAAAAAATCCTTTGTTAAAATAAATCAAAAATGTAACTTCAATTTCTAAATTGTCATTGACCAAGAAGTGTCTTTATAAAATGTATTAAAATTTGAAATACATTTGTCACAAGCGAATAGTCTGATTTTTAATTCGACGGAATTCTGACATTTCAGAAGTGTTGCCAACTTTGAAACATTGTCACTAAAAACGGAAAGCATTTTAGCAAAATAAAAAAAATAAACCTTTCTTGAAGTTAAGGTTTCAATTAGAAAAACTAAGATTTAAAAAAATATTGATAACTCTAAAACGGTAATTATTTTTTTTATCATCATATTATTGAAGTTACAATAATTATTAATTTTATTACAGGAATCCCTGTCCAATAATCCATAGGTTGCAAGCCTTTTTTAGTAAAACCCCTTTGTTTGTAACATATTTTGTTTTACTCTGTTTTATTCATTTAACCATAAAAAATTTACATTATAGTTAGCGTGCATTGATTGCACAAAACAAACACTATTTACAATGTCATACATATAGTTTACTTGATCTAATTCTGTTTCATATTTTTTGTTATTTTATATTAAAAAAATACAAAGCAAAAAAGGTTTATGATATCTGAATTGTCAAAGAATGATAGCTGTCATATTTTCGTGGAATTAAAAATCAGACTTTAGCTACTAAAATGTCGTATTAAAATGTTACGTATTTTTTTTAATAAAAAAAATGTAATATAGATAATAATATAATAGCAAAATGAACGATAGATAACTTAGTGACAACTCTAAACTATAGAAAAACAGAACGCTCCCACGTCCTAAAGCATCTTATATATATAAGATGCTATATATCATTTACACGCGGCGCGGTGCACACGGCTGCCACTATTGTTTCTATGTTCTCGTTACTGATATCGTTTACTGTTTTTTTCTTAAACAAAGATTTTATGCAGTAAAAATCAAATACGCAACATACTTACAAAACACACAAGTCTCTATCTTATAGCTCATTTCGCAAGGACATTATAATATAATTAATATGAACTAACTAAATGAAAAAGGCCTAAGAATTCAACGGACATTAAACTACAAGATCGTATAACTCAACTGAATTTAAAATGCGTCATATTTTACCAACATGCATCAAAAAAGATTGGATTAAATTTGAAAACGTTATGCTTTATCCAGTGGCGTTACAAGCCATTTTGGGCCCCACTGCAAAAAAAATGGAAGGCCCCCTTTGTCTATTTTGGAAACCAATGTGGTCTACAGACAGAGACGGTTTTCGAACTTCTCATTTTTTTTCAAACCACTCTCACGGAAGAACGGGTAGAGTAAAATTTAGTGATAAAGCTGAGCTTAGCGGACCATTTATCGTTTTATAGAACATAGGTACGATCATATTCCTCGTGGTCCTTTCTAAAAAATAATATGCGGTAATTAAGGATTCTTTTTGCGGTGTTTTTAAACTCCTATAAGGAGTGTCCTCGAAAAAATGTTTTGAAGTAAAAGAATCGTTTGTGGCCCACATGGGGCCCTCTTGAATCAGGGGCCCCATGGGACTTTGCATAGCTATGCCACTGGCTTTATCCTATTTTCTTTTTAAGAGATGTGACCTATTAAATAAATATTTAAAGCATCCATATCATGGCACTGATAGTCAAAGTGTAAGGTTATATTAAAAGAATTACCTAATGGGGTCAATAAAGTTAACACGCAGTTCAAATGTATGGGACGTTAAATTTAGTTATTACTCATTACATTTGCGTGTGACTGAACAGTACTACAGATGCCTCTTGACCGATTTCGAAAATAGTGGGTTATATCTAATAATTACACTCTATTCCTTAAACCCCGATCATACGACGAAACGGACGAAATTTCGTATGATAAAATATGCACAGGACCCACAGTTGTCGTATACTCTTGTCTCGTAGACTTCCCGACTCCGGATTATTATTGAAAAAAAAAAATAATAGAAAAACCCTTCAAATTCCAATGAATATGAAGCTGAATTTGCTCGTCACTAGTGGCGGGACAGTGAATAAACATTACGTATATATGTAATTAAAAAAAATTTAAGCACCAACAAAATGTTATTAGTTTAATGCATTTAGACATTGAATAAAAATAATAAGTTTAACTAATTAACAATTACAATCTGTCGACTTCAAATACACTACCAACATAAAAAAATACTTCTTTGGCGTAACAGAACAAAAATAGCTAAACATTTCATCCCGTATGTCACGACTCTCTGTTTGTAAAAGAAATGCACCTAACTTCATCATGTCGTTTTTTGGCTGTCGATGTGCGCGCGCATCGTAAAAATGTTACTCTCATATTTTTTTCCAAACGTGCCAAAATAAGTAGTATAACTTCAAAAATAAATAAAACGTGTTCACAATGGCTAAAATATTATAAAAGATACACGCAATAAAAAAACACCCGAAAGAGGTTAAAATGGGTGATGGAGAAAAAAAATGAATAGGATATATACCCTACCTCTATCCCCCACATACTCGTGGAAGTCAACGACTCCGTCCCCGTTGGTGTCCTTCTCGCGCAGCGTCTGGTTCACGAGGAACGGGTGCATCACCGGGTGCTCCTCGGGGCTCGTGAATATCTACAAAAATATATATTAACATCATTAGTTTTTAAATATATTACTAGTATTGCCCGCGGCTTCGCTCGTGCTGTATGTGTACATGTTTTAACCAGGATATAAGCTAATTCCATTCTGAATGTCACTTCAATCAGCAAAGCCACTACGGCGTTAAGAAGTAACAAATACACACTCGATTACAATTTTTTGCGTTTTTATCGACGCAACACGTTTGGCTCAGTTTGTAGTGCTGTGCCAGCGAACGCGGGTTCGAGTCCCGATGGGGGCATTCATTTGTGTGATGAGCACGAATGTTTGTATTCCAGTCATAGTTGTTTATATTTATTTATAATATTTATGTATTTATAAGTTATATATATGTGTAATGTATCAACTATCTAGTATCCATAACACAAACCTCGTAGCTTACCATGGAACTAGATGGTGTTATGTGCTAATGTCCCAACATATTTATTTATAGTATAAAGTGATATTTAAAATATATATATTTTTAACAAAAAAAATATATTAAGTTAAAAAACACTTGAAAGTAATTTTACTCTTCGGGCTGGATTTTTAAAAGTTACAATTACAAAACTTAAACCTATATTTCTGGAGTTATTATAAATTATGTACACAATGAAATATTTCATTTCTACATTAACCATCCAGTTTTTTACACTTAAGACTACTAAGAAAAAGTGATTAAAAACGTGACCAAGAACATATAATACCTTTATTTAAGAATATTTTTTATTAATAAATATATTTATGCTTACCGAAAATTCCTCAAAATTGAGATTCCCGTCACCATTCATGTCTGCCACTAGCCACATCGCCTTCTCCTCGCGTACCAGCTGAATATATATATTACATGATAATCTTCTTATATATAAAATTTCCATGTCACAATGTTAGTTACCGTACTCCTCCGAAACGGCTTTACCGATTTTTACCAAATTTTATATGCGTATTCAGTAGGTCTGAGAATCGGCTACTATCTATTTTCCATACCTCTAAGTGATAAGGGTGGCCCACATTAGCGACGAACCCGAGCGGAGCGAGGGTGAGTCGCTAGTATTTATATATAAATAGGCAAAGACAAAAGTGTTCAGTGCCTTTTTCACCTCTGTTTCGTCATCTCAGTGCATATTTGTCCAAACGACCAATTTAACAAAAGAGATTTTATTACAGAATTATTGACTTTTAAATGTTAATTCTACTGGTATTAAATACATATTTTACTTTAAAATAGCCTAAAAATATATTTTATCTATATACTATGTATATAAACTTAGAAATAAAGATTTGTTTTTGAAATAGAAAAAAATCTCTACTGTAAAGTACAACAAGAATTGGTAATTTGATCAAATAAGCATATTAGACGACCGTTTGTCAACAGATTTTTTTTTTTTATTATTAGTAGGGGAGCCCAAGAGGGGATTTTCTGTAGTTATTCAAGCGCGGCAGATTAACATAAAAGAGGTTACCTTGCACTCTATTGAGTACTTTTACCACAATATAAGTCTTCTATATAAAGGGGCGCGTCTAGGGAAGCCGATTAAAATATTTAAAAAATGTTTTGATAAGGTAGAAATACTTTTCAGGATGTGACTAGCCTACCACACCTTAATCTGACGGTTTCAAGTATTTCTACCTTATCAAAACATTTTTTAAATATTTTAATCGGCTTCCCTAGACGCGCCCCTTTATATAGAAGACTTATATTATGGTGAAAGTACTCAATAGAGTGCAAGGTAACCTCTTTTATGTTAATCTGCCGCGCTTGAGTAACTACAAAAATCCCCTCTTGGGCTCCCCTACCATATGTTTATTAGCTATTGACGAGCTTTGGTGTTATCATTTATCAAAATTGACATACAAAAACTCGAGATACAGAATTAGCGTTTCAAAAATGTCCTCAAAAAGAAGTGCACAATTCGAAATAGAATTGTGTTTTTTTTTCAAATCTTTGTTTATTGATTTTCGGATGACAAATTTAAAAAGCACGTTGTTTCATTTAAAAAAGTACTTTACGTGGTGTGGGCAAGTTCGATTTTGTGTTTAGACAATTAGAACTTTCGATTTTTTAATTTTATTCTTTGGTTCAACTTAACATCACATATCGACGCCACTTTTTTGAAGAGATATTTGTTAGAAAATGTGGATCTATATTTTTATATATCAATGGTTTTCAATAAAAAAAATCGATACATTTACTTTTTTATATAGGTAGGTAAATTCTGTTAATATATGTTTTTCCCATATTTTAAATAATAATTATGTTCGAAAATCGACCACAGGGCCACGGTAATAATGTATAATTACCGTGACAGGGCGAACACTGGTTAGTATTATAATTGGCTATGATTAGGGCTATATGACATGAGAATCAAACCACCTGGCTATTTCATAAACAATACGAATTACTTCATCAGATGATTGGCCAATAAAAAGACTCGGGTATACATATAAAGACTGGCGTGGTCCGCGGCTCCACCTACGTTATTTATTCTATATAGTATACTAGCGGCTCATCCTCGCTTCGCTCGAGTTAGTCCCTATGCTGATTTCCCATACAAACTTTCATCCCCATTTTCACCCTCTTTACGGATGATTTCCGGGATAAAAAGTAAGTAAAAGAAAAAAACCAAATTTCATCTAAATCGGTTTAGTACATCCAGACATTCCACCTACAACGTCACAAACTCACAAACTTTACCTCTTTATAATATTAGTATAGATAGTCAATCCGCTTCTAACGTAGGATCGTAAATATAGTGTGTTGTTAGATTAAAAAAATGGAAAGTATTTTTTAAATCGGACTGGTACGTTTCAGAGATTAGCATTATTAAACAAACAAACATTGCAGCTTTATACATTACTAGCTTTTTCCGCGCCTTTGTTCGCGTAAATTGTATAACTGTTTCGATCTTTTCGATCCATTCATTTTGGTCAGATTTGATCCCAAAAGTCGTAGCTTTATGTTAGATAGTCTAAAACCGACCTAAAGAATTGGGCTACGAAATGCAAGATTATTTTTCCAAATTCTAGTACAACAAAAAAACAAACAGAATTAAGAGATATACATATTAGCAGAGATAATTATAGTATATCTACTCTATAGCTTTAAAAAAGTCTGTTCAGTAATCTGTTCGTCTAAAGGTGCTTCTACACAGGAGTTAAAAATGTTAGTTAGTAAACATTTGTCAGTGAACATTTTGTCGCAAAAAAAAAATCATTTTATAACAAAAAGTTTTTAAATATTTTCTTTTTATTAAATGTTTTATATATAACATTTGCTAACAAAACAATTTAAAGTAAAATATTACAATTTGTAACTTTTGTTAGAAAACATTAAATTCGGGAGACAGCGGGGCTTGCAGAGTGGTTATAAAATGTTAGGAAATGTTCTACAACATATTCATCAGTGTGGAAGCTTTGAAAACATCTAACAATAATTAACATAGGTATTAGTTGATGATGATGTTCTCCTCGCCGGTTTCGGCTACGGCGGCCAATCTCATTGAGACTAGCCAACTGCGCAGGAGATATTATAGTGCACAAGTGTACGCGCAGACACAACGTGCACTCTCTAATCCTGTCACTCTCATACTCCGGTGGGACGACCACTCGACACGACCGGTGAGAGTTAAGGCGCAGGACCGACGGCTTTACGTGCTCTCCGAGGCACGGGGGTGAAACACCGCCAACTTCCCAACTCCGGGCTGTTACTGAGACTTAATATACAGAAAGACTCATAACTAAACTTGGCCCGACCCGGGACTCGAACCCAAGACCTCCGAGTGTGCAGCCGTACATGCTAGCCACTACACCACCGAGGCAGTTATTAGTTAACATATTAGTTACTGGATGTTAAAAAAATTTTACTTAATGTAATCTAACTTTTTTTACTGCTATGTGGAAGCACCATAATAATACGACAAGTAACATTTGTATATGGTACAGAGTAATGTTAGTTTTGAAGTTTGAACTGATTCAAAAGCCATTCGATAGTATGTACGTAAATAGCTGGGCCCCACATAAAATATATTTAGCGTGACAATTGAACACGACAAGACATTAACAGTAAAATAGTACGGCAACTGTTATTAAATTCCTGAGACAATTAAAATCGTGTACCGTGTTTTATATTCGTTTACGGCGATAATTTTAATGTCTATATAAAAATAGCAATGGCTTAAACCTAAAGTAAATACATATGTATTCACTCAATTTATTTATACTTTGAAAATAACTTATTATAAATAGCTACGAAATATTTTTTTGTATGTCCGTCCGTGTATTAACACGTTAAACCCGGAAAGGAACAGATCCGGCAAGTGGGGTAAGCTATTTTTTATTCGAACAATTCATGTATGAATGTCATGAAAAAGAGATGTCGTGTATCTAAACACAATAAAATTCTGAGTCGAATCTGTACATTTAGAAAATCGGTAGGTACTTGCGTATTAACGCTACCGCTGTAGATTAAAACCCGCCAAATCTGTAGCTGCGGTGGTGTAATATATATTTTTCGGAATCGGAAGTTATACGGGTACATACATTTCGGTGATTCATTTTTATTTATATAGATTTACTAATTCAAACATTATATTGCATATTAGGTTAGTACATTTTTGTATTGTGAGCCTAATCACTAGGTTTTTTTATTCAGAGGATATTCTAGATATATTTATTAATTATTATCTTATTTCAAATTTTCATAATTTTTCCCAAATTCTAAATTCTCTTCAAACTACAACAGGTAACTAAAATAACAAAAACCCTATATAATTACCAATCCGGTATCTCCTGTATCGTCAGGACCAATCTCCTCTTCACCATCAACACCAAATGCATCTTTCAAATACTCAGCCCACGTCACAATACCATCTCTGTTGTCGTCTGCTTCCGACATGCGCTCCTCTGCCTCTTCCTTCGAGAGGTTTCTGTTGACAATCATTAAAATATATATTATTACTAGCTATGTACCCTCGCTTCGCTTGAGTGCGTCCCTAGGTATGTGACTTTTATTCACAATTTCATTCATGGTTTATAATTTTTTTCGCGGAAATTTTTCTTAAATAAAAATAACCAAGTTACTCCTTATAACATCATCTATCTGCCAGTGAAAGTCTCGTCAAAATCGTTCCAGACGTTCTGAAAATTAGCCAGAACAAACAGACAGACAGAAAAATATTTTAAAAATTGTTTTTTTCTTATAAGTATTGTATATACTTCACATGTATTTAGTAAAAATCTGTTACATTAAAACCACTTCTATTTTATGTATATATAAGGTTTAAGGTTGCTGATGTATTTTTTTAAATATTCTATATACTTTTAAATTATTTTATTTGTAATACTTTCTTAGATTTAAAAAAGAAAACCATAGAGTGTAACGGAACGCGCCCGTCTACCACAGATACACACTCGTGCGGACCTCAAGCTGTTGTCAATCTGTCAAAACAAACGGACGAACCTACTATTCGGGTACTAAATAAAGGTTTGAATTTTGCTGTAACGCCTACGCGCATTCCTTATGAAAACATTATTTGCGCAGTTGAAGATGCCCTGGCCCAAAACATTATGAAAACTGAGGATATGGAGGCCATACGTCAAGATGTTTCGTCTTTATTACGTCGTAGTACTAGGCCCAAACCAAACCTCAATAAACAAGAGTATTTAGCGTTGAAGAACCTACGCAATAGGTCAGACATCACCGTTCTACGCGCAGACAAAGGAAATGCAACCGTTGTGATGGATACATCAGATTATAATGATAAAATAAAACAACTTTTGTCGGACGAGAGCACGTACAAAAAGGTTAAAACGGATCCAACTACCACCGTTTTAAATAATACTAAAAAGCTAATTAAGGAACACTCCGACACATTAAATCTTGATGTTAAAAATCTTATTCCATCATGTGCAAAACCACCTAAGTTGTATGGACTTCCGAAAATACACAAGACTAACGCTCCGCTACGTCCAATTGTGAGTCAGATCGACTCACCGACTTACAAATTGGCTAAACTAGTAGCAAAAGTACTCTCACCACTCAGAGGATTAACAAGAGCGTTCACAAAGGACTCTTACCATTTTGTCAATGAAGTTAAACACCTAAAACTCATGGACAATGAAACAATGGTTAGTTTCGATGTACAGTCTTTATTTACCAGCCTACCAGTGGAAGACTGTATTGAAATAATATCTAGGAAGCTACTAGATCACAACATGTCAATAGAATACATTGAACTTTTAAAACACTGCCTAACATCTGGCTATCTACTGTGGAATGGTGAATTCTATAGGCAAGTGGATGGAGTGGCCATGGGTTCGCCAGTCTCCCCCGTTGTAGCCGACATCTTCATGGAGGACTTCGAGGAGACTGCTCTGAACACATCACCCGTGACCCCTCGTTTCTACAAGCGGTATGTAGATGACACTTTCACAATATTACCATCTGATAAAATAACTGTATTCTTAGAACACCTTAATTCTATAAATCCTAAAATACAATTTACAATGGAATTAGAATCAGACAATACCTTAGCTTTCCTAGATGTATTAGTTAAACGTAACACAGATAACACCTTGAGTCATACTGTGTATAGAAAGAAGACCCATACTGATAGGTACCTGAACGGTGAATCTCACCACCATCCTTCACAGTTAGCTACCGTGGGAAAATCTTTGTTTCAGAGAGCGCGCGGGATCTGTGACGAGCAACACCTGGCCGGAGAACTGCAACATGTCAAGCAAGTTCTGCGTGACAACAAGCTGCAAGTGCCGCGCCTGCGTCACAGTAACCGAGTAAAACCAGCCACAGTCGAGCGCGTCCCTGCAGTCTTGCCATACATGAAAGGAGTCACTGACAAGATTGGCTGCATTCTAAAGCGAGCTTCAATTAAAACTTACTTCAAGCCGCCAAAGAAAATTAGTCAGTTCTTACCACCTGTCAAGTGCCACATCCCTCTACAAGATGCAGGAGTTTACAAGCTTGATTGTGATTGTGGGCTCTCTTACATTGGACAAACAAAGCGATCCATTAGAACCCGGGTCAAAGAACACATAGCTGATGTGAAGCACCGTCGCAATACAACATCTGCTGTCTGCAAACATAGCCAGGACCGCCCAAGCCATTATATTCGTTTCGATAGACCTCAAATCTTGGCGAAAGAAAACCGATATCGCCCTAGAATGATTCGAGAAGCCATAGAAATTAAAAAACATCCAAATTTCAATAGGGAAGATGGCTGGGTACTACCATCGTCATGGGATCCTGTTATTAATATAATAAAATCAAATAATAAATATAAACATAACAAACAGGCAGATGTAGTAAGTTCATACTGTGTAGATCAAAATGACAGCTTATCAGATTGATATTTTTCATTTTTCATTTGTAAAAGTATATATTAATAGTGTTGCTTAGTAAGTTGTTTTTAAATAATAGCAAACTAAATTAAAATTATAATCCTTAATTAATTTTAACTTTTTAAATTACACATTGAACAATTATATGGCTTAAATAATTAATACTATATTTTATATTTTTCTTTATGGTTATAAATATAATAATGGCAACACTAAATATAGATTACTAATTAATATTTTTAAAATTGTAATAATTATAAAAATAATAGCAAAAATTAAATAAATAATTTTCCATATTCAATTATAATTAAAATTATAAAAATGTTTAAAGTTAAAATATTGTAATGTAATTGGTGCAATTTTCATTTTGTTGATTGTGGGTAGGCTGTCTGTAACAACTATATCTTTAAGACATGTAACACCTCAGTCTCTCCCGTGACCATGGATGCTGTAAAGCATTCGAAACGTCGGGAACCAAAAATCAAAATAAATCCGCGAAATAATCCGAAAAGATAGTTTTATTTAATAATTATTTTATTTGTCTTTAGTTGAAGCTAGTTGACCTTTTTTTAAAGTAAAAATAAATAGTTGCAGATTTTCTTTTACTTATCATTTTATGAGATGGATTTTGAATCTTAGTATGTAGTTAGTACATTCAAGTGCTTTTCATTCAATGATGGAATAATGTGGATTGTAGATGGTGAGGCAAAGGCAAACAAAAATCCTCTCCTAAAGGATAGTATAATTAATTGTAAATTTATTTTGAAGTTGATGAGAAAGTATTTGAAAACGTATTTATTATTTGGCAATTGCAGAATATTAACTGGACAATTTAATGACAGCACAGCAGCTGGGATATTAATAAATCCAATTTCCCTTAAACCCTCCATGACCGCACGCCGGCGTGTCAGTTAACAATTGATTTTTTAGAATTTTAATTAATTTCTTAGACATTTACCTGGAGGTGTTAAATGAAAGTGAGAATTATCTTAATATTTAAATATGTATGAAATTTAAATCAAATCATTGGTAAACAAGTTATTTTGTTTTTCGAAATAAAGGCAGTAAAATTGGATCTCACTATATAAACCTAATAAAAAACCAGTCTTTGTATGAGTATGAGTCACCATAGAATGCATATGCAAATCAGCTTTAAGCCACCTTTTATCTCAAATTGACTAAATTATATGTATAGCTTCTTTATGTTTCATAAAAAGAACATCTGTGTGTTGAATGCATATTAAGAAAATGATGAATGAAATCACTTTTTGCTTATAAGAATTTAAAAATATTAAACCTTCTGTACTTATACAATATACATTAGGTCTCATATTATATGTACAATAACTTTTAAAAATATATTCTTTCCTTTACTGATTACATAAATTAATATAATTTAAAAAGTAATTTAATATGCAACTTAATGTAACTTTTTATATATTTAGATAGAAGATACTTTATCATCCACCACAAAAGAAATATACACAAGAAGAAATAAGCAAATAAATGATCCACATGAGGAAGTTTATATATTTTTCAAAATATAAGGGTGCACTTACGTAAATGAATTTAAGATCCACTTCTTTAACTCTGTTCGGTCAATAAATGAGTCACTATTTAGGTCCATTTTGGGCAGCAGCAGAGACAGTCGCTTTTTCGACTCCTCAGGGCTTTGCCTGTCATATTCTTCAGCTTCCTTCACGCTACCTATGGAGAAGTAATAAGTAACCACCAATATACCAGGAACGAGAAATAATAAAGCAAGTTTCACAGACATCCTATCGCATTTCTTATCAACGACTACTAAGCATCGTGCATTGCAAAACGCTGCGCCGGGGCAATGACGTATAAACGGCAAGACGTACCTAAAATCGCTTCGTGATCAAACTCCACGTTATGCCCGGCATTCGTGTAGTGGTCGTAATCTCGCGGCCGGTAAGCGCCGTCCGACTCACGTTCTGGAGTATCCACGCTGTGGCTATGCACAGCCGCCGAAGCACACAGCGAAATATTGGGCGTTAATAAAAACACTAACAATATTAAATATTGCATCAACATTTTATCAGTTTTGAGCACTTTCACTCAATATTTATCAATGTACAATGTATACAAGCAATTGCTTTTATGCAAAATTTATTATTATTCTCTTCTCTTATAAAAATAACATTCCAATTTCCAACATCTTATTTCTGTAAATAAAATATAGATGACAGACAGATCACAGACAAAATGTTAAATGACAGATAAGATCGGGCAGTTTTACGCATCCTCCAGTCTGTTTTCAATGTTCACATAAAATTTTGAATTCAGAAATAAATTATTCTACTGGTTCTTTATTAAAGTTTTGGCCTCGTAACCAATGATATCGAACTAAGTGTTGGTCTCTAATTTGTTGACTGTTGAAAACGTATTGATTTTTGACATTTTGTTTCTTTTCCCATTATGTTATAGCCATAAAGGTCAAGGATCGTACAATCAAAACAAAAATTAAATAATAAGAGGGCTTTTATAAAAATCAACAAAAATATAACAAAAAAAAAATACAAAAAAATATTATTTTAGCAAATTAGTTGCTGCCATGATAATTAAATTTATACGCCTACTCGCGACATGACATGGATACCATTGAATAAATTTTGAGAGATGCTTCTGAACTTCTCCAACTACCAAAGGTAGATGCGTACGAGTGGCTTGATCTGTTGGATTCAGATTTATTATTGCTTCTTCTAAGTATCTGCAAGAAAAAATATTTTTTAGAATATAATATGAATATTATTTCTGAATATATATTATTCGATAAAATATCTATTCGATAAATTAGATCTAAGAAATAGCACAATGTATCAACATTAATGAAAGACAAAAGATTAAATATAGTAAACAACCAGTACGTAATGAGTATGTCAATAACCTGCACTTTAGCTGTGTGTCATGCACCATATCAGTAGCGAGTTGTTGTATGAGAGATAAGAGCACTGATTGCTGAAGACTACACGGTGGAGTGAATATCTGAGCTGGATCAGCGGCCTTGCATGCTGCCACCACAAGAGACAGATCTGACGAGGATAAAGCTTCCTCGAAAGACTTATTTATATCACCTTCTTTGATTCGTTTACTAATTTCTGCTGATTTCATCTGAAACATAAAATCGTAATGAGATATAAAAAAAGTATGTATAGGTGTTCGAACTTCGAGGTATATAATTGGGAAATATTTTAAATTAAAAATAAATATGACGACACGTTTGACTCAGTTTCTAGTGAACCTACTTGTTGTGCCCGCGGTCGCAGGTTCGAGTCCCGCTGGGGGCCCTCATTGTGTGATGAGCATGAATGCTTGTACTCCAGTCATGGGTGTTTAAATTTAAATATATGTATGTTTTTAAAGTTATACATGTGTAGTGTATCAACTATCTGGTATCCATAACACAAACCTCGTAGCTTACCATGGAACTACGAGTAGGTGGTGCTGAGTGTTAATGTCCCAACATATAAAAAATAAAAAAATAATGTAATCAGTAAGTACATTAAAGTTAATATGAAAAGAAAATGAAGTAATATGTTCTTACTAATTGATCTATAATAGATCGTTCAGGGTCAGCTGGTTGCGGAGGACTGCTGGCTGAGTACGAGGTATTATTAATTTGGAGATCTAAATCTCCATTTTGTGAATTACTGTTATTTTCTATTTGCGGTTCCGGCAATAACAAGCTGACTAACTTTTCTCGCCACTCCTTGAGTTCGTTTTTCAGAATCCTGAAATATTTCACCACCAGTTTAAATTATTTTTTACTGCAAGCACCAATATAATCGTTGGCTTACTATTACAAGGTTTTATGTTAGTTTTAATGAATTTTAGTAATTTTTACATAGAACTTCGTTATTTTGTTATCGTAAAAAAAAACAACATAGAACTATGTATGAAGCAAAGGTAACAATTATCTAGTTTCAGTTTTACTTTTTTAATTTTAATGTATGAACAGAAAATATCAATAAATAAACATACAATTCTAAAGAATTCTGGAAATTATCGAAGATGCTTCCAGTTTTGTTCGTGTCCAACAGAGCTTGATGTTTCTCCAACGCTATGCGCAGAGAACGTGATGTACGGTGTACTGATTTGAATAAGCCTTCTGATCCAGCTTCAACTATAACAAATTTAAATATAATTTACCTACAATAGATGTGACGAACATTTTAAGATTCATTTTTCACTTTTTAAGTCGTAAAAAACTTGTTTATTGATACCTGATTTTATTAATTGTAAAAACCCCACACGTTAGTAGATTAATATCTTGTAACAATTAAATATGGCAGTATTAGTGATGATTAATGAAATTTTTGAAGTCGATTAATATTGATTAATGATTTATGCAAAAATATTTTTTTACCATGTTTTAGTTTTAGCTTAAACGTTATGATTCGTTAATGGTTAGTACCTATAGATTTTTAAGATGAAATATTTTCCTGCGGTAAAAATTATACTATATACCCGGATAACCAGCTATTATCATACCAAATTTCGTCAAAATCTGTCCAGTGTTTTTCTCGTGATGCGTTCCCAGACAGACAGACAAAAAATCTAAAAACTATAGATACGGTCTCTGTATCGATAATAATGACTATTTCAATAAAATTTTCCAAAAAATATTTTATTTATAGATTCGACTTAGAATTTTATATATGTATAGATGTAATAGGTATAGTTACGCTCATTAAAAGCGTTTTCCAAAGTCCTAGTGACATGTCTGAGCAGTCTGCGATGAGAATGCTCGAGCACGGGCAAGTATGCAGCGGGGAAGGTCTCCGAGAAGCTGCTACGTATGACCTCCTTGACACTTTCTGCTGTGGCTGTTGCTATTCGATCTTTGAGGTCCTGAAATATTAGGTACAAGTACTAATATATACTATCGAAATAAAATGTTTAAAATTTATTTTTACATTTTAAATAGATATTTTAAGTATTAGCACTGTTTTAATTGAGAATAGCAAATTATTTATTTTTTAGCGATATATACCTAACTAGAGGCTCACCCTCGCTTCGCTCGAGTTCGTCCCTAGCTTGCTTCCCAATACATTCATACCCATTTTCACCCCCTTAAAGGATGACTTCCGGGATAAAAAGTATCTTATGTCCTTTCCAGGGTCTCAAACTATATTCTTACCAAATTTCATCTAAATCGGTTCAGTAGATCCAGAAATTACCCCCTACAACATCACAAACTCGCAAACTTTACCTCTTTTTAATATTAGTATAGATATTATAAGCATCTGTGTAGTAGCGATAGAGATAAGAAACAAAAAGCTTACGTCACTTTGCAAAAACTTGTTGAGAACATCTCTAATCTCTCGATCAGTGCGTTGTACTTGCGACCTTTCTATGGCATCCAAGAGATTTTGTGCTTCACTATTTTGTATCTCAAAATCATAAGATCCAGAGACAAGTTCCTTTAAATCTTCAAGTCTAGACAGGAATAACACATTTAGATTTTTGATGAAATAGAAAAAAGTGTTAGATATAAAATCAGTTTTTTACGTAAACTCAAGACAACATTTTATAAATAAGAAACTTCAAGTAAACCAAAACATATAGGTACCTCATTCTTATTTGAAATCGGTTAAAATCTTCTTTTCTTGCGGGTGTAAGTGAGTTTGATAAATATTTATACTGCACGTATATGTCTATAGACTATAAGTATACCTAGCCATTATACTTACGTTTGAGCAGCCTCTCTAAGCAAATCTGGTTTCTCCGACGCCGTGAACGTGCTCAACGCATTTTTGGAAGTCATTAATTCTTCTTTCAAACACTTAAGCAAGCTATGTTGTTCGTTTAGAATATCTGTAATTTTTAAATTATACCACTCTTATATCCCGTAAATCTCTTTTTCAAATATGATTTGCAACATTATATTATTTTTCCACATAATTAAAGCAGTGGATCTACTATAGATCCAAAACATATTTTATTCAGAACATTGTATATAGGAGCTATGTTATTCTGAGATAAATATAGCTATATTATTATTGAAAAAAGTTTGAATATCTGTCAATAATTTCAGCAAATCAATAATTTCAAATGAATAATTTCGCTAAAAATAAAAAAAGGTTACTTCTTTACGGTATAGGTAGAATAAAGTTATCGTAATATGTCCTTACATTATACATACATGTAAATACAAAGCAGTATTTTAATTTTTAACATCTTACCAGTAAGTTTAGTTATTTTTCGTTCCAGCACTGACAAACCTTCATCACTAGCTTTAGACGTGTCTCCAGCATCCAACTTATCTTCAACAGATGAATCATCTGAACGGTTTTCCATAATAACACAAACATCAAGTGACGACTCGCTTTGTGTATGATTATCATGATAATAACCACAAAAACGACGACATTTTATTTCATAATTGCCAACATGCAATGATCCGATTGATTTAGAACGAGTTAAAGTAGATTTTGAAGACATTTTAGAAATTTCTTGAAGTTTGTGTTATGTTTAAAAGCGACTTGAGGCTAGTGCTGAAGTTGTAATGAATTTTAGTTCTACCCTCTAAGTATAGTATAAAAAATGTGGTGTTACATACCTGCCTGCACATAATGTAACATTACTTGTATACATGTAATAAAATTGTAACTAAGCCGAATCTGTACATTAAATATTTTTTGGAAAATCTTATTGAAATAGACATTATTATTGATACAGAGTCCGAATCTATAGTTTTTAGAATTTTTGTCTGTCTGTCTGTCTTTCTGTCTGTCTGTTACCGCATCACGAGAATGGACTGATTTTAATGACATTTGGTATGATGATAGCTGGTTATCCGGGTCACCATATAGGATACTTTTTACCGCAGGAAAATATCTCATTTCTGACAAAAGGTACAAAAACTTCATAGTAAGAGTATACTAATATATAAAGCCTAAGAATTTGGTTTTTGGTCATCTGAACACGGGCGGAGCCGCGGGCATTGCTAGTATCCTATATGACATTGGAGAAGCAATCTGTGCTCAACTGGCAAGTTTTCAAGCAATTAACAAGATAATTGAATGTAAACTATATTATAAAGAGGCTGAGTTTGTTTGTTTGAACGCGCTTATCTTAGGAACTACTTATCCGATTTGAATAATTCTTTTTACATCAGATAGCCCGTTTATTGAGGAAGGCTGCAGGCTGTATATACATAGTCTATCTATACCATACTAACCATTAATAAGTATATGTTTAAATATATTATTGTATGTAAATATAGGTTACATTTGTAAGTTAAGAAACAGGAGTTAAATTACGAAACTACTAATCTGTTCTCTGATTTTGACCAAACCTTCATTTGCCATTGTTGAACAATAAAATATGCTACTTTTTCCCTGGTAATTGCATTTGTATTCAGTGTACGGCTGTAGACCATTAATTAGGTCATGGGTTCGAATCTTATCTATCTCCCCTCACTCTGCGTTCTTTGTAGGTGTCGGTTATATTTATTTTGCTAAAGATCTGAGTTCGATTCTTGCATGCGATAAATCTTATGTAAAGGTCCTGATGTGATTAAGCTTGGAGTCTGGAGGGTCATACATGATGAAAAAGTGGACACGCAGTTACTATGTCTAAGTTCAAAGGAAATGCATATTTTATTTATTAAAAATGCACGAGTATGTGCATATAAAATTTTTGTGTGTGTTCGTAATCTTGAGCGATTTTAATGTAATTTTCGCGTACAGTTGTTATGGTCCGGGAGCCAGGTACAAATTTGGTCGATTATTTTCTCTCAAGCGATAATTAGTGGAATGCATCAGAAAGCTACCTATATCATAAAGCCTCGTGAATGTCAGCTGCGGCTCCGTGGATGGAATGAGCGGTCGTAGCCTCCTGAACGCACGAAAAAAAAAAAACAATAATTTCATCAATATCTCCACGAAAGAAAACAATCAGCTGATTATAACATAGTGGATTATAAGTCAGCTGGTTGCTCGAACACGAAACTTTTTTTTTACTTTCAGTGATTTCCTTTCTATTTTTTTTATTTATTTATTTATTAACACCAACAAGACACGCACTAACAAAATCATAATAATATAATTACAATAAATAATAAATTCTAAGTGCTGCCTTAATTACAGGTGTCTTTCAACTGAAAATTTATCTGATGCTAGCTTATATGCAAATATAGATAAATACGCTATGTCAGTTGGCTGTATCTCGGTGGAAAGACCGTCGGCTGATACTTTGAAAGTCATAACGCAGGAGTTAGACGGGAGCGTCTATCGTGTAAGTATTTAAAAGCTGACGAGGTTTCCGTTAACTTACGGTCAGCTGATGTTTTTTTATTAATTACAGCAGTGTATTGAAAATCAGCTACCAAACTTTCATATGAGAGGAAATGATGTATTTTAGATTATTCGGCATTACTCTTCAACGAAATATATATTCAGTATAAATACTTCAAAACTAATAAGTATATAATCAAATAACTGAATGCATCAGAGAGTTGTATCTTAAAGCTTCGTGAACGTCAGTAGTTATTAGTTAATAAAATATCTTTTAGCTATGTATGTATACTCTTGCGTTTATATTTTACATCTGAATCATAACATTTTTTTTTGGGGTGGACCACCCTTATCACTTAGGGGTATGGAAAATAGATAGTAGCCGATTCTCAGACCTACTGAATACGCATATAAATTTGGTAAAAATCGGTAAAGCCGTTTCGGAGGAGTACGGTAACAAACATTGTGACATGGAAATTTTATATATAAGATTATTTTTTAACTATCGCGTTTGTTAAAGGAAAATTATCTATAACAATACTGCATACTGTACGCTTTATCGCAAAGTAATATAATAGTAATATAAATGTTATGCCTTTCAAATGCCATAAAACATTTTCCTACTTCAATAGATAGCTGTAGGTACTAGTAGCTATTTGAAGTAAAAATTAATTATTTAAGTAATAGTTTTCATGTATAATTTAATTTAAAATAGTATTCAAATATTCTAGGTATGTATTTTATTTTTTACGTTTATTAATTTTTGTTTGAGATAAATTAGACGCCGAATCAAAATATTTCAAATTTATCTTGTATCAATTATAAAATGGTAAAATAATTCTATTCTTAGGTGCACTCGCTCCCACTGGCATTATACATGGGAGAATGTACAACTGAACGCATTTTGTTGTCGAATGTTATAGATTTTTAACCAACTTCCAAAAAGGAGGAGGTTATCAATTCGTTGGATTTTTTTTCTTTTTTTTATGTATGTTCACCGATTACTCGAAGACGCCTGAACCGATTTGGATTTTTTTTTACTTCAAAGGTGGTCCCATAATAATTTTATCGATATGTGTAGCGGGGTTTTTTAAAAAACCAACAATAAATATTTTTAAATAAATCGAATATGATACTAATCAGATATTTTCGAAGTCGGTGCCAGCCGATGCAAAGCAAATCTTGTATATTTCGATACGTAAAATACATATTTACCTATTAGATATATCTTAAAATATTGTAGGTTGGCACCGACTTCGAAAATATCTGATTAGGTATCTATTCTAAATGAAAACCTCCGTTTAGTTATTTTTTACATTTTAGTGCCTGGAAGTCGGTTTTTATTTTTCGTTAAAAAGTTTTTATACTAGTTCAGAAAGAAAATTCCTCATAACTAAGATGAATTGGTGAAAGAAACTTAGCGGGACCATGGATGTTTTTAGAGTTCCGTACCTTATATGGAAAACAATTCCAGTCTTTTTCCTCCAAAACTGACTAAGCAAAGCTTATAATTTACAGAAATAAAAACAAAAACATCTCAAGGAAAAATCGTAAAATTCCTTCAAATTTTTGTAGAGTTATTTATTAATGGGTTGAATTAAATAACAATGTTTGTTAATGTTCGCAATATACATATTTAATAATTGCAAATTTTTGCCACAGACATGATATATTATATTAATTTATAAATCATCAATATAGTTAAATTAAGAATAACTATTTAAGGCCAGGTATTCCCAATTTTACATCACTTTGATTTAATAATAAACAAAGAAATCGTGATTTTTTAAAGTAAAGAAAAACTTATTGAAGTTTACTTTATGTACTTTTACAATTTGTGGTTCGAAACACGATATCGAAAACTTCACTAGATCAAAAAAAATCCGAAGAACAGTCAAATTCGATATTTTTTAAAGGTAATTCTTGTTTTTCTCGAAGCTTATAAAAGCTTTACTACTAAAAACCATATATCTAAAAAAAGGTAATTATACATATAGAAAAATAATTTGTGGTTACATTTAAAAAAATTGCTTAATTCTTTTAATAATAAATTATTATATAACACAGCGGCTCGCGTTCGTCATTTCAGTCGCCCGCCAGGCCTTGTCGAGGTAAGATCTATGTCCCTTTTTTCCAGCGCGCGGCTATCACATAGTGTAAATAAAAGAAATCAGTAAAGCGTAAACGTGGTAGCGTTAAATGCCTACTTTGCTTGGTCTACCTGGCCTTAATAATACCGATATACTCAAAAGGCTAAAAGATAGGATAAAATAAAAAAAAATGTACATGGATTGAATAATTGAGTATTCGTTTTTTAATTTTCAAACATATAGATAGCAACTATAGGATACAAAACAATAATATTAAAACAAAATTATGAAATTTCTAGAACAAAGCATTTAAAATGAGTTTTTTTTAATATTATTATAGTTGGTACAAACAATTTTTTTTACAAAATAATATGAGAAACACGAGCAATACTTGTTAGCCTCATTTACTTCACAATTACAATAGCATTTTTAAAATAACCGAGGTGTCCAAACATACACGAACCAAGCATTATGTCAAAATCTTTCAATCAGAATGTAGTTTTACAGTAACCGGCGGTAAATAATGCACACCCAGCGAAAGAGAGACAAAATCGGCTCATTTCGGTTTTGTAGAGTGTCGTCTCTGTCACTCATCACATTATGTCAAATTCCCAGTATATACCGGACTGTGTGCAACAGAGACGACGCTCTACGAAGCCGAAACTAACTGATTGTCTCCCTCTTTAGCTCGATGTGCATTATTTACCACCGGTTACTTGACATTAATATAATATAACAATATTCATTAACAATAGTATCTAGTACAAGTCTTTTTCATTGACTTACTTATTTCATACCTTTATATGTTGACGCAACTCATTAACTGTACGGTACCGAAATGAAAATGAAATATTTTCTATTTTAAATTATATAACTTTGCGCAGAAATCTAATGTATAAATCAGATCGACAATAATAAATAAATATGTTGGAACATTAACACACAGCACCATCTAGTTCCATGGTAAGCTACGAGGTTTGTGTTGTGGATGCCAGATAGTGGATACACTACACTTATATGACTTTAAATACAAAAAACTTAAACTTTGTTTACTAGCCATTAGAAATCTTACTTCAAATTGTTTTTAATATATACACATTAAAATAAAGTTAAACAAAAATTAAGTTGTTTCTTTAAAAAAATAATTAATAACATACATATTTTAGAAATGGTTTTACCTTACAATATGTATTTCTCATTCTGACTATACAATAAATTAATGGTAGAAGAAATGGGACGTTCATAATGATATACAATACATTAAGGCAGTTATAGCCCAGTGGTAACGCAATCGCTTAGTAAACCGAGTGACGCGGGTTCAAATCCCGGGTTTCGCAACTCTGAGATGTGCGATTCATTTTCAACATGATTACTATTTGTCTTATGGTGAAGAAAAACTTGCATGTCTGGGAGAACCTAGCAAGTTTTCGAAAGGCAAGTGAAGTCCACCAACCCACACTTGGCCAGCGTGGTGGACTATGACCTGGCCCGTATTGAAGGGAGGCCCACCCCCAGCTGTGGGACGTTAAAATAGTCTGAATATATACAGTACACATACGGACCAACATATAAAGGCACTACTACACTGAGATAGAGCGTACTTATGCTACACTATAATTATCTAGCTATAAATTTATATATACACAACAATATCTCCTCAGTCAAAAGGTCTTTGTACAATATTATATAAACAATTAAGCATTAAAGCACTCATATAATTTACTTATCAATTTTAAAGAGACTTTAACTTCAAAATTTCTTTTTTATTTAAAAAAAATGTCATAACTTGTATTATATTTTTTAAGAGATATAATCATTAAATTATTACAGTTTTAAGGTAATATTGAAGTGTATTATAAGAATCACAATATGCGAGAGATTTTTTTTTCCTATCTATTATGGAGCGTAGAAGTAAGGAGTACTATCTCTGAGTATGGAAAAGTGTCCGTCAAAACGCGTCCGATGGCGCGCGTGGCGCTGCGGTAGCGTAGGATACATTTCAAAGGAAGCGCCAAAAGTAATTAGAGAGAGAAAGAGAGATAAACAAGGATGGTTATGTTTGATAAATTATTTTGGACACGTAAATACTTGATGTTTTGTATACTGGTATTTCATTAAAAAAAAATTATGTTTGAACCCAGTACACTTCACTCCGTCTACATCAGCTTAACTCATATCGCTGTTGTTCGTACGCCAACGCCACCTATTTTCAGCATACAGGGGGACACTTTCTCAACTTATCTTCCATATAAGTGACTCCTTCTCACCTCAACTCTCCATACTATCTACTGAAATATTATAGGCACAGCCGAAAAATACTCCGGTAAAGTTCTGTTCATAATGTAAATAATACCTGATATAAAATATTTACTCATTACAAAAAAAATATGAAAATATTATGTTCGAAATTAGTAGCACATTACTTTTAATTGTATTATAGTTAAGTTACATATTTTGAAATATTTTCACAAAACAAAAAGATGTCTAATACTGGCCACACTATGTATATTTGTCATTCCTCTATTAATCATAAAATGTGTTGTCGATTAAATAATCACTTATGACTATGGTTACGTAGAATATATCAGAATAAATTTTTAAAAAATCATAGAAATAAAAAAAATACGATTGAGGCACCCCTTTTCATACACACTACATAAACTACTTATATATAAAAGAAATAAATCAAAATAGCAAAGAGCGAATAATATCAGACTTTCTTATTAAATGATAGTACCCACTAGGCACCATCTTCAATAACAATCACAATCACTGTGTCACTATCACATATACGGTTACATCAAATATGTAGGGTAGATGTAAGGAGAACTATCTCTGTGAAGAAAAGTGTCCGTCGAAATGCGTCAAATTAGGGTGGCGCCACGATAGCAAGCGGGTTTTAAAACATTTTGAAGAAAGCTCCAAAAGTATTACTAAAAGTTCACAAAAAATAAATAACTCTCTCCGTTTACATCTCAGTTATTTTTGTTACATTTACAAAATTATTTTGGACTACTACCTACAATAACTACTCAAGTCATCCAAAAAAATTAAATTTATCAACTTAGCAATTTTCACTTCGTTTACAACTGCTAAATTCAATCATCATAACCTCTTGCTACGCTAGCGCCCTTCTGGTGGGTTTCTTAACTATTATTTACCGCTAACAGATGGACACTTTTTCAACTTGTCTCTCATATAAGATGGTTCTCCACAACTCTACCCTCCGTACTGTCAACTATCACATTCACTAACAAGGCATAGTCCTGTACACACAGGGGCAGTGGTAGCAGGGTGTCGGTCAGACGGCATTCTTCACCAGTGACTCAGTAGCCATCAGCAGCATTCTGAACTGCCTGCTGAGTGCGTGTCCGGGATTAGAGTTAAGGAATGCCACAATTTGCTTCTGAAGCTCTCGGACTACAATGGGCAAATGTTCTCGGGTAACTGGGTTTGTTGTGTCTAAATTCATGATTGCTTCTTCTAAGTACCTGTTATCAAAGTGTAAAGTTATAATATTAGATAAGAAATAAATCCACGAAAAAATCTTAGAAGATAATTTTATCTATCTAATTCTATACTAATATTATAAAGAAAAAAAATGTATTTTTGTTTGCAATAGATAAACTAAAAATCCGCTGAACTGATTTGGATAAATTTTGGTATGAAGATAGTTTGAGACCCTGGAAAGGACATAGCCCATAGGGTAGTTTTTATGTCGGAAATCTTTCGTTAAGGTGGTGAAAAGGGGGTTAAAGTTTGTATGGGGAATCAATCATTTCTCGATTAAAGGATATAAAACTCATCATACCTATGTACATATATGTAAACTACCTATTTCATACTAACTGTTAAAACGTACGTTTGTATTAAAAAAACGCGTGTGTGTGTACTTATGTACGCACGTGAGAAGTTATACTTCTTTGGCGTAACAGAACAGAAATAGCTAAAGATTTCATCCCCTATGTCACAACTCTCTTACGTACAAGGAATGATAAATAATAAAAAAATTAAATAAAGCATATTACAATCATATGTTTATAGATTATCATTTATGGAAATGTATCGTAAAAATTTTACTTTCATATATTTTTCGAAACGTCCCAAAAGAAGTATAATTTCAAGAAAAAAAGACGTTTCTGTACCTATGTTTGAGGTGCGTGTCCCGCGCCATGTCGGCGGCGAGCTGCTGCACGAGCGACAGCAGCACGTGCTGGCGCAGGCGGCAGGGCGGGCCGAACACGCGCGCGGGCTCGGCCGCGCGGCACGCCGCCACCACCAGCGCCAGGTCCGACGCCGACAGCGCCAGCTGGAACGCGCCGTTCACGTCGCCGCCCATCATCAGCGACTGGATCTGGGACACTTGCATCTGACCGACGGGACGAGTTTGGTGTTATTAGTAAATTGGAATATTAATTACTTTCTTAATAATATTTGACATTTTCAAAATAACATATTTTGTGGGTAGGGTGTAATAATAATATATTTTGTAGGTTTACGGGTAGATGGGTAGGGTGTCTTTGAGACGTTTAAAACCTTAGTCTCTCCCGTGACCATGATGGCTGTAAAGCATTCGAAACTTCGGAAACCAAAAATCAAAATAAATCCGCGAAATAATCCGAAAATATAGTTTTATTAAAAAATTGAAATACTATTACATATGCGAACATTTGTGTGTATGTATATGTTTGTGTACGTTTGTTTTCTTCACGCATAAATGGTTGGAGGGATTTTGATAAATTTAGTACACAAACCTAAATAGCCTAGTGTAGATCACAAGCATGCTGTTCAGAAGCTAGGGACGTGCCTGAACAAAGCTAGGATAAATCGCTTGTATATATAATACGAATGAAATGAAATCCTCTCATTAGATTCTATATTATATTCTAAAATGAATGGATAAGAAATAAATAATTTAAGGTTAACAATTATAACTCCAATATTTACAGTATGAAAGGAGATTGACAAATGAAAAATACTTATCAGCAAATGCATCTATATGACATATTGAAAATATATTTTAAAACCACATTAACATTAATTTCACAAAGTACAACTGAGCATTTTCATACTTTGAGTTTAAACTAAATCATTTCAAAATAAATCTAAATTCTAAACTCATGAACAAAATTTCATTCAATTTCTAGACACACTATAAATATTTGCCTAAACCTAAAATATTATTAATATTTTAATTAATTATACGCAAATTAAATACATACTTCAACAAAATTATAGTTCTTTATATAAATAAATATGTACTCTTAATAAGAAAGGCAACGACTCTTGAACACAGTTCCTCGCGTTACGAGATCTCTGAAATGCGTATTATTTATTTTATTTAACGAATAAAATTTATTTGTATTGAAAATCAAAAATATACTTTTGACTAACTATAAACATATTGTTTTATTTGATTACCTCCACAGACGAATTATTCTGTAAGAGAAAATTTTAAAATAACAAAGAGAAATAATAATAATAATTATAATAGGTAGTAAACTATTGAAAGTATGGAGATATGTACGAACTAAAAATGTCTATCGACTTCAGTGTATGTTTCTTTTCTTTATTGTTTTGCTAAGAAATATTTATTGGGTAAGTAGATTTTAAATCGAAGAAGTCCATCAACCTGCACTTGGCCAGCGTGGTGGACTATAGCCTGATCCCCCTCGTATTGAAGGGAGGCCTATCCCCAGCAGTGGGACGTTATAAAAGGGCTGGATACAAATGTTCTGTAGCAGCACTAACAGTCCGGTATATACTGGGAACTTGACATAATGTACTGAGTGACAGAGACGACGCTCTACAAAACCGAAATTAGCCGATTGTCTCCGTCTTTTGCATTATTTTTGATTTTCTTAATATTTTGTTATTTTTTAGTACATCTCAAAAGAGGCTTCCTGATGAATTTGAGATTTTCAAAAAATCCTTTCTTTTTTTGTTTTTTTTTGCTTATAACTTTTTTAATAATGGTCGAAGTTCAATTATTTTTGAAAAAAAAAAATGAATTTCGACCATTATTAAGAAAGCTATGATAAAAAAAGAGCAGTTTTGAACCAATGTTTAAAAAAATCTCAGAATTTACCAGGAAGCCTCTTTTGAGGGGTACTAAAAATACCAAAATATTAAGGAAATCAAAAATATCTCTTTTTAAGCTGTCTGATTTGACGTGGAGTGCCCCATTTGTATATATACCTGTCGGTCGGCGACGGAGGGCGCGGCGGGCGTGGCGGGCGAGTGCGCGCGCGACGCCTGCAGCGCGCCGCGCGCCTGCTCGCGCCACCAAACTACTTCCTTCTCCAGTATACTGAAAGCGTACGTTATTGTTATATATTTCTGTATATATTTTCTTGTGTGACGCTATATTTAAGACGATTCTGAATCGATTTTTTGTTTTTACTATTATAAATTCGATAATAGTTGGTGTTATACAGTCATATATTGATGAATATTTATTGAGTTGTACAAAAAATCTCCAAAGAATCACTAAGCATGTACCTTTTTTTAGGTATACCAAAGTATAGACAGTGAAAACACATCTATGCACGTTGCCTTGAGTTACGTCTCTTACAATTTGTCCATCCATATATTGAATAAGTACTGATAGACCTTTATTAGATTTACACGAATATTCGACATTTTAAAATAAAACTATACTTTCGAATTTTTTCGCATATTTATTTAGATTTTTGGTTGCCGGCGTTTCGATTGTCTTTCCTATGACCACGATTGCTGCAAAACATTTGAAACGTCGGAAACAAAAAAAAAAATATAAATCCGCAAAAAAATCCGTAAAGATAGTTTTATTTAAGAGTATTATTGTTATTATTTGCACAACAGGTCGTCAATGTATATACGAGTATAGCTAAGTATAAGCGGTGTATAGTGTAGTGTAGGTACCCGTGCACGACGTCCTTGAGCTGGTCGGCGTACAGCCTCGGCTGCAGCGCGCTCTGCTGCAGCGCGTCGGCGTGGCGCTCCAGCGCGCGCTGCAGCGCCGCCGCCGCCGCCGCGCCGCCGCGCTCCGCCGCCGCGCGCGCCGCCGCCTCCGTGTTCGCCGCGACTGCGCAGTACACATATGACATTAACACACAGCACCATCTAGTTCCATGGTAAGCTACGACGGCTTGCGTTGTGGATACCAGATAGTTGATACGCTAATGCACGTATAACTTTATATACATATATATTATAAATATAACTATAATATCATACAACTAAAAATGAAGTCAGACAATGATGTTTTAAAAAATCTAATAGACTTCATAAGGAAATTAATTTTTTCTAAACTATGAAATAATATTTTTCATACACGAAATTAAGAGTAGGTACGAAACAAATGAGAGGCATACAAAATAGCCAAAGAACTTGAACACATACACTCCTTGGTCCCGGCCTGGAAGGTGTGGCTGATCTGGCGGAAGATCTGCGCGTGCGCCTTCTCCATGGCGGGCACCACGCTCTCGAACAGCGCCGCGCGGAACGCCTCGCGCACCATCTCCGACAGCGACGCCGCGATCGACGTGCTCAGCCTCTCCATCACCGTCTGTTTGTGTGTATTTATATATATACATAACTTTACACTATTGGGTAGTTGACATGTTTACTCAACAATGGCGAATATGCGTGTTTTTTTTTTATTTTTGTATACAATAGCTTACTTCCTTAAATAATTGTAAAAAAATATTCAGCTCCAAAAAACTAAAATTTGGAATAAAAATAAATCTTTACAAATATCATACCGATATTTTATATACGATATTTTAAACGCCCGCCTTTTAAAAACTGATTTTGAAAATATTTGATTAGGCATGTATAGTAAATGAAAACTACCAATCAGTTATTTTTTACTTTTTAGTGCTTTTATTTGAAGTCGGTTTTTATTTTTTTGTTAAAAAGTTTTTATTTTTCCCTTTTTAGCGTAGACAATAGTAGCAAAGTAAGAATTCTAACGTGTTAGGCTTGTCAAATCAAACAAAATAAGCCCAAACTCAAAATATCTACTATTAGCCGTTGAAGAGTTCCACCTATCCACCTTCTGGCCTTACCATCAGATCAGGTCAACAATACCGAACCACTGTACTACCAACGGAAATAGAAACACTTGCAAAGTTTCAAGTCAATATGACAATTAGAAGTAGGTTAAATTCATCATTAGCTATTTTTCCACCCTTAGGGGTAGTATTTTTTTTTAAATTTAAATGGGACCAATCTGGAAGTATACACTTTCAAACAACACAAAAATTGTCCAAATCGGTCAATAAATGACGGAGTTCTGAGGTAACAAACATAAAAAAAATACAGTCGAATTAAGAACCTCCTCCTTTTTGAAGTCGGTTGAAAATAGACTATGGTGCGTGCGTACCTTGCTGGTGACGAGCTTGTCGATGTTGTCGCGCAGCAGGCGGTCGGTGGCGGACAGCTTGGCGGCCAGCTCGTGCTGCAGCGCGTGCGCCAGCGGCTCCAGCGCGCGCGCCGCGCCCGCGCCCGCCGCCGCCGCCGCCGCCGCGCCCGCCGCCTCGCCCAGCCGCGACACGCGCTCCCACCTACACACACACACAGTTATTGTACTTGAATGAATTCATGGATAACTTACAAAACAAAAAGAGAAAAGAAAATATAGAACGAGGTAACAGTGACTATGAAAGTTTAATATAATTATTTATTGCAGGCAAAAAAGCCATTATAATTTTTCTTTTTTTTCATAGTCTCTGCGTATTATCTGATCCCTATAAATTAGAGATGGACCTCGGCTAAAGAATCACATTAAAAAAATTATATCTCTTAACAGGACATTACATATTGGATCTATGTCAAACTAAATTATCTTCTTACCCAATTTCATCTAAATCGATTCAGTAATTTCGGAGCCTATTCGGTACATATAAACAAACAAATGTTTCCTCTTTATAATATTAGTATAGACTAGCGACTCGCCCTTACTTCACTCGGGTTCGTCCCTAGGTACGTTTTATTTGAGCGGAACCCTAATTCTCTTTCTGAAATAAAAGTACCCTATGTTATTCCCTATAACATCAGCTATCTTCCAGTGAAAGTCCCGTCAAAATCAGCCCAGCCGTTTCGAAGATTATCCGAAACAAACAGACACAGACAGAAAAATTAAAAATATGTTTTTATAAGTACTGAATATAATTCCATATGCATTTAGTAAAACGCTGTTATTTTGACTTTACAAACAGACACTTCAATTTTATTTATCTGTATAGACGAAGGTGTATATTACCCGGCGCCGAGCGCGACGTCGACGGCGGCGGCGGTGCGCTGCGCGTGCGCCGCCAGGGCCTCCTCCAGCTGCGCGCGCGGCGCCGCCGCCTCGCCGCGCAGCGCGCGCAGCTCGCGCGACTGCGCCGACATCAACTCTGCAGTGCGCATGCGTCGTATTATTTATGCATTAATGAAATCAAAATTCAAAATATTTTATTCAACATTAAATTACTACAATCTTTTACTGAACGTCATGAGTCTACTACCAGTTCGGAAAGAAGAAGCCTCAGACCTTAGAAGAACTGGCGAAAGAAACTCAGCGGGACTAATATTATTTCATTATTTTTTCTGTAAGTTAAATAAATAGTTAAACTTATACTTAAAATAAATAATGACTAATAACTTTGTTACTATTTATTACTATAGTTTTAAAGTAAAACTACTTTATCAGATTGTTCCACAAAAAAGTCCAAAAGAATTATATTATTATTTTTATTTTGAGTAACAAATATATCGTGTAAATCTAAGAAAGTATAATTTTTATAGTTATTTATAATCACAATATTAAATCTGGATCAGAAAATAGCATTTTTAAAGAACAGAAACTGGTATTACATATTTATATCTAAATAGTTATAAAACACAGTCAATGCATATACATACAAATAAATAAGAAATATTTTTAAATTAATTGAGAAAATAAATAAAATAAACTGATGGCACTTACCAGTCAACTTATCTAGTTTTTGCTCCAATGATTCCAATTTAGTCTTCGTAGCTTCATCTACCACAATACGTTCTATACGTTCCGTTACTCTCTCGGGGACTGTCAGAGGTACTAAAGGATTAGGAGGCGTCGGGAGCGAAGCGCTTAAAGGCGTTGGAAGCGAAACGTTCAAAGGCGTCGGAAGCGAAGCGTTCAAGGACGTTGAAAGCGAAGCGTTGAGGGACGTTGTGAGCGATGACGTGCTCAATGGTGCTGGGAGCGGCGCGCTGAGCGACTGCGTGCTCGACTTCTCGCTGGAGGCTTTGCGTTGGTTCGCTTCTGTTATTTGTGCGAGCGATATCTGCGGCCACGACGTGTCGCTGTCTGGAAATAAAACTTGTTAAATTATGAGATCAAAAAAAAAAAACAACGAATTTAATTGTATCTTACAGGGAAATATTTTCCTTTCTATTCCTTTAGTTTTTATACTAAAAATCCTGTATGATCACTTTATCAAACCTAATTGCAACACGCACATAACTTTTTTTAATTTATAAATTATTAATCTATGCCAGGTAACTTTAATTTATACATATAATAAAATTCTAATTGAGTTGAATCTGTACATTAAATACTTTTTCATTATATTGAAATAGTCATATTTATCAATAGATTTTTGTCTGTCTATCTGGGAATGCATCCCGAGAAAACCACTGGACGAATTTTGATGAAATTTGGTATGGAAAACTAGCTGATAGCTATCCATATCAACATTTATGGTAATTTTTACTGCAGGGAAATATTTCACCTCTGAGAAATCTATACTAACCTTTAAAAAGTATCATGAATCACGTATCACGTGATATGAGTCGCTAGTATAAATATATAAAATGATGGACTTATTCCGGTGTAACAGAAATGCTTACTGGCATGCGTGAGCTTGGGCGGCTTCTCCGGCGAAGTGTACAGCTCGGGCGCGAACAACGGCTCGCTCGCGCCACCCGCGCCCGCCTGCTCGCGGGTAGGGCTCGCTTCCTTCACTTCTTCTTCTTCCTCCTCCTAAATTATACATTGCACACTTATAATAATTCTATTATCTATAATATACTCAACTGTCTCGGTAAACGACCCGGGACTCGAACCCAGGATCTCCAAATTACAACCGCACAAGTTAGCCACTAGGCCACCGAGGCAGTAACGAAAATATATATTACTAGCATTGCCCGCGGCTCCGCCCGCGTTCAGATGACCAAAAACTAAATTCTTAGGTGTTACATATTAGTATACTCTTACATTGCAGTTTTTGTATTTTTCCTCAGAAATAAGATATTTTCCCGCGGTAAAAAGTATCCTAGGATCGCGCGCTACATCGCCCGGTTTATATAGCTTGAGCAGGCGGTCGAGCGATGCGGGGCAGAGGGGATGGACTCGCCGTAGGCATCTCAATGCTCGCCAAGCATTAAAAATGTTTCGCTACTAATTACTTCTAACAACGATATCTCAAAAACTATTCATCTGATTGATTTAGTGTAAAGAGCAATTTTAATCTGCATTAAATGACTAAGCTAACTAAAATATTCATTTGGATAAGGATTAATACCGAACTAAAGAAAATAACTTTGAAAATAACGTAATGTTTTTAATTAAAAATGTTAACATAAAAGTGGTTATTGTAAGTCAACCGTAAGAGATAGAGATATGCTATCGCGGACTTTTTTGTAGCATTTTTATAGATTTTGAATTCTCTAGTACATTACTTAACTGTATCTTTGCTAGTTTACGCGGCGTTCGCGTGGAAAGTTCCCATTTGGCGAGATTTTTTGCGACCTCTTCAACATTTGTCGCCGTATTTCAGCTAATTTACATAAAAGCATAATAAATTATATACCTAAACCTTCCTCAAGAATTACTCTTTCTATTGTTGAAAACCGTATAAAAATCCGTTCAGTAGTTTTCGAGTTTATCGCGTACAGACAGACAGGAGGACAGAAAGACGCGGCCGGGGGACTTATTTTTATAATAAGTATAGATGTAGATAAACAAATAAAAGTAAAATCTGTTTGTATGTTTGTTCTAATATTGATACTAACCATGTCGTTAAAGAAAGGCCGGTCGTTTTGCGACATTATCTCTCGCACCTCGCGGCTGGGGCTGGAGCCGCCTGACGCTTTGCCTTCGACGCCCGGCGCCACTTGATCCTCTGATATGCCTGGAAACACAGTTGATAACTGCATTCTCATTTTATTTAAGATTTTAATTAATCACTAGTGAACTATCACTGAGGCAGTGGTAGCCCAGTGGTAACGCACTTAATTGGGAAGGAAGCAGGTTCAAATCCTTGGTCTCGCACCTCTGCAGATATTTTCATGTGTGAATCATTTTCAACATGATTACCACTTGTCTTACGGTGAAGGAAAACATCGCAAAGAAACTTTCATATATGAAAGAACCTAGTAAATTTACAAAAGACATGAGTAGTCCGCCAGCCCGCAGTTGGCCAGCGTGGTGGCTCGCATGGAAAGCAGGCCCACCCCCAGCAGTGGGACACAAAAAAGGGCTGAACACAAACTATAAGTATATTCTTTATTGCACTTATGAAACAAAATATTGAAATTGCATATTAAAGGACAAAGGCAAAGGTGGCAAAACTGTAAATGTTAGATAAATAGTAGTATTGATAGATTGTAATTAACATAGATGTTAATAATTTAAAACATGTCTAACCTCCAATAGACATCCTGGGCTTCGCGGTGATTTCCGGAGTAGCTGACAGAGGTGGGTCATCATCGTCTCTCTTGCCTGGGGAGCTGTGGACAGGACAACACATTATTTATATCATACTAGCGACTCACCCTAGCTTCGATCTGGTTCATGCCTAGGTACGTTTTAACGGTTAGTATGGAATGATAGATTATTTATTATAATATAATATACATAGGTAAAAAATAAACATTTCCGAACATTTCGATTTTTTAGGTGTGGTTTTGGGTTTTCCCTATATTTTGTTATATACTTAAATCACCCATGACACTTTTTCTGTGTCTTTTTCCTTCCTGACACAATTCAAATCAGTCAAGTCGTTTTTGAGTTTTTGCGAGACTAACGAGCGGAATTAATTTTTATATTTATAGATGTATAGTACCTGGTTCTATCAGTTATCATCCATTGGCAATAATGCAATTACCACAAAAATTTACGAGATGGCACTATGTTAATTTAAGAATATAATAATATAGAAAAAGGCTCCAATAATTAGTTATGATTTTTTTTTGCTTTTGTTATTCCAAAATTTTAATTTTTCACATCTGCTAGAATTCAAGTTTTTTTTTTTTAATTTCAAATATAATTTATTTTAAGACTTGATCTTTATATAAAAATTAAACATTTCATTATGGTCGTATTAATCTCAAGTTAAGACTTACCTGAATGCATCTGGGGTCATGAGATTGAGTTGCGGGTGGGAGGATGGAGATTCTGGACGTTGACCAATTAAACTGCCTGGTTGTGTCTGAAAGAGAATAAACATAAAATGTCATATTATACCACTTATCTATAAATATAATAAAATTCTAAGTCAAATCTGTGCATTAAATATTTTTTTGAAAAATCTTATTGAAATAGTTATTATTATCGATACAGACGCCGAATCTATATTTTTTAAGAATTTCTGTCTGTCTGTCTGTGATCGCATCACGAGAAAACCACTGGACACATTTTGATGAAATTTGGTACGATGATAGTTGGGTATCCGGGTCAACATATAGCATACTTATTACTGCGGGAAAATATCTCATTTCTGAGAAATCTATACTAAACGTTAAATCGTATATTTTTTAATACATAAAAAGCAAAAAAACAGTCAAAATATTAATTAAATAATTACGAAGAATATCCCAGGTCTTCATTCTATTTTGAAAAGATTTAATAAAATGAATATAATGTCAGTGTTGTTTTTCGAAATACAATTATTACTTAAATTCGATTTCTACAAAAAAAAAATGATTTGTCACAGTCACCGTACATACCACTGACATGGAGCGAGAATCAAAGAAGAACACTACCTGCGACCTCATGAGTAGGCTTTTGAGTTGCTGCGTCTGCTGCTGCAGGATGCTAGAGGGCATCGCGCTCGCCTCCGAGCTCTCTTCCAGTGTTAGCTCCTCAAGATCTGAATACAAGATTTATATCGTTTATTTATTATCTGTTCTATAACACTAAAGAAAGATTTCATATTAAAAAAAGATTTATAAGAATATGAAAATTATTATGAATATATTTCAAAGTGTATTCATCATATTTGTAGTAAATACAAAACTAAACATGAATCTGTAAATCAAATAAATGTGATTTATAATACAAAGCTTAAAAAACAATCATAAAATTTTAATGGGAATAAACTATAGAAAAATAATAATAAAAAAATAAATAAAAAGTTATAACTATAAAGTTATAAAAATAAAAAAAGTTATAAAAATAATAATAAAAAAATAAATAAAAAGTTAAAACACATGTTTTCTTTAATTCTTTGCATTAAAAAAATCATAACATTACAAACAATATTTCATGTGTCATAATTAATAAATCATATTTTAACTGTTTAAAAAAAAGATAATATAAAAAAAACCGATCAAGTGCAAGTCGGGCTCGAACACGAAGGCTTCCGTACCATCGTACAAGATGTACAAATCGATTTTTTTTTATTTTCCATGGCGGCCATTTTGAAATTCGCCATTGTGGTAATGTAGTATTTGTTAGCGAAAATAGAAATACACACTCTTTGAAAATTTCAACCACCTGTTACGATTCATGAGATTTAGCCCGCTGACAGACAAACGGACGTACAGGATAGTCTCGGCGGCACCCTTTGGGTCCGGAGCCTAAAAAAAAGGAAAAAAAATAACACATGAACAACCCACCATGCAAGGGTATCCCCGTCGGCGCGTGCGGCGGCGCGTACACTAGCTCGCCCTCCTGCAGGCCCTTGGGCTGCACGATGTAGAGGCGCACGCGCACGCGTCGCCCGCCGCTGCCGCATTCGCCACTGCCTTCCTCCTGCAAATTACATATTTATATAATAACACAGAACACATAACACATCTATACCGGTACAGATGCCTCATCCCATACAAAGGCATTAGACAACGCTAATTCGGACTATTCTTCGGGCTTTTTTTTTGCTTGAATAGATAACAGATGTCGTTGATTCGCAAATGTTGATACATGAAACGTCATCTATTGAGATTTATTTCAACGAATTTTTCTTCGTTCGTAATGAGACCCGGTGATAATAATAAGTGTTTAACTAAGGAGTTATACATACTGGAATTCACCGTTACTGTTTTTTTTTATAACTTGAAATTATAAGACTGTTGAAATATCACCTTTTTTAGTAAAAAGTATTATTAAAATTTGTAAGTAGCTGACAGAGGTAAAAATAAAATGAGAATAAGAAAAAAAGTTCACCAACTTAAGCACACTACCTTTTTTTAAAAAGCCAATAACCGAATCATTACACTCTTTCTGTTCTTTATGTTATTTAATAAATATTGAAATTAGACTGAATAGAAACACTAACGATAAAAACATATACTTAAATATGGATACGCCTTGCTTTACGAAGACAAAATACGCAATAAACAAAATAGACAAAACATAATATCTCACATCGTGATGTATCTCGTAGCCGTCGGGCGAGTCGCCCGCGTCGCCGCCGGAGCCGTTCCTGTGGTAGGGGTCGTCGCAACTCGACTCGCATTTCACTAGCTGCTCATCTGTAGGTTAAAATTGTCAGATCAATATACTTTTTTTTAAATTAATTATTATATAAAAAATCTGGATTTAGTAAAGTTCAAGACATATTTCTTAAATCATCATGTCCAGGCTTTCTAATCAACTATTTTATATGGGGCATCCAAAATGAAGGCGACAAGTACGAATTTAATCTATACTAATATTCTAATAATAATATTATAAAGAGGAAAAATTTGTTTTGTGTTTGTGATGGATAAACTAAAAAACTACGAGACCAATTTTAAAAATTCTTTTACGTAACAAAAGCTAAATTATCTGCGAGTAACATAGGCCTCATATTATTTTCAAAAAAATAGAGATCTCCAGAAAAGTTGGAATGATGTAACATAAGGTATCAAAAATTTGCCTATAATAGTCATTATTTGGCGGGCGCTGCGAATACACAATAACTAATATATTTATTGTGTATTTCTTTATATGTATTTCATAAATTTATTTATAAAATATGTGACTCACCAGCATCAACAATACAGAAACTCAGCACGGGATATGGCAGCAAGAACTCCGATATACTCTTACAATATGCCATGGTATCGTCACTGTCCCTTGCCATGTTGAGGACATACAGACTCCTAGTCTTGAAGTCGGAGAGCAACAGGTAGTTAGCGCTGGTGTCCAGCATTGCCTTCATACCCAGCGAATCCCCACTCAGTGGTGAGGAGAAGGTGATAGATTGTAAACAGTCCCAGGACTTGCATGACCAGATTTTGATAGATGTGTTGTTCTCTGCGCCGGTGACGGCAAATTTCCAGAATTGTACACTGGAAAACGAATTAGATATATAAGCTTTATAGTATATACAAATCACTCTTCAACCTTATATCTACGCTAATATAAATGTACAAATGTGAAAGTGTGTTTGCTTGTTTCTTATAAGTTGTATAAGTCAATATAGCAATGAAATTTGAAATTAAAATGAAATTAAACTTTATTATTAAATCGAATCAGTAGGCGGCTACGGGACAACTGGAGTTTGTGGTGCGATACAATTGCTATATAGCTAAAATGTGCGTGTCAGCACTGCCACTACAAAGTAGACTAATACAAGCACTTCTGAATCGTCAATTTAATTTAAAGAGCGTCAGTATAGTCTGTCTGTGATATAGCTAGCTGCCACTGGCTCAGAAAGCAGTTCTGCTGCTTTCCAAACCATCAAGAAATTCAAGTTAATATAGGTTTTTTCTATGTAGATAGTTTGGGAGGCTTGTTGGCTTTCTATGACGATAGATGAGGAGTACTGTGGTTAATTTTTACTTACTCAGTATTATAGTTTTTATGATTGTCTAAGAAGAAGAGGCAGCTGAGAGGTTTGCCGCCATGCGGCTGCCACTTGTGCAGGCACCGGGGGCTGCTCTCATTGTTCATGTACACCTGGGATCATAACATTTTAGTCTAAGTTATAACTGTGTTATAACACAAATAGCATTTAACTATTATAAAAAAAGTGTTATACTATAATTCTTCTAAGTCAAATATATTGTTCGTTCAACTAAAAGTCGCCAATCATTTTAAGTGTGTTTATTATGAATTTTTAGGACACTTCGGACAATTCGATTCAATTTTCTTTTCTTTCAATTTTACACAGAATAATTTGTAACAAAAATACAGACAATATTAATCTTATATATAAGCTATATAATTGTACATGGTGTATGTGCCAAAGTGTATGTATGGTATCATCATCAAAATCCGTTTATACTACTAAATTATGCATGAAAGAGCCATTTATAATATACACATTCACAATATTAGTATGTACCTGAGCGAACATAACGTATCCGTCGGCGGCGGCGGTGGCGAGCGCGGTGCCGTCGGGCGAGAAGGCGGCGGCGAGCACGGCGCCGGCGTGGCTGCCCGCGCCGCGCCCCGCGCCGCTGCCCAGCGCGCCCGCCGCCGACACCGACGCGCCGCCCACGCCCCCCGCGCCCCCCGACAGAGACACCACCCCTCGTATGTTCCACATGCGCGCTGGAAACGTTCAAAAACAATATTTTCAAAAACAAGCTTTTATTTAAATGCTCTTAAAAGAAAATAAACTTTAAATTAAATCAAACCCAACATTTATTTACATTACACAATTTATTTATTTTTTATTTTTTAGTTTTTATTTTATTCGTATTCTTTTAAGCAAACCCTTTCATTTGATATCCAAATCATGGGGTGCATAAAAAAATGCTTGACCGCCATTTTTAGGGGTCTTTCATATTGGATTTAAAGTGAAGTCACTTTATTCTTCGAGTTATTATATATATATTGCAGGAGTGCATTAAAAATAACTAATCCGCCATCTTGGGTGCTCCGCCACGTTAGATGATTTAGAATGACGTCACACTGCATCCGCACATGCTAGCTACTAGACCACCAATGTCTCTCAACGATCGTTTCGAAGTATCGTCCCATCGGACTTTGAGAGTGACAGGAACAGAGACTGCACCTGTGTCTGCGCGTACACGCGCTGCACTATAAGATCTCCTGCGCATCTGGCTCGTCTCAGTGAGATTGGCGCCGTGGCCGAGATTGGTCAGGAGGACATTATTGTCATATCTTTATTTATTTTTTTAAAATTAAAGCTTTTGTGTACAAAGTATAATGAATACAATGAATAAAAAATGTGTTTTTAGCATGAAAGTGTGATTTAGGTCATATCTTGTCTGTTATTAAGTCACTGAAAGAATTTAACATTTTTAAGTAGGTCAGCATTTGTTAGATATAACACAAAAAGCTGGTACACTTTCTATCAATGTGCTAAAGAATTTTGTTTATTAATATTCTTAAGAAAAAGGACTTAATACCTTGATTTGCATGAGTGGTCAACAAAAGTCGTGCGACATCATCATCAGGTGCATCGTCTTCATCAGGGATATACGGACACCACACCACACGATGTGTGGAGCCACCGACGCCTGTGTCTTCCCGTACTTCTACTGATAATGTGCAACTAAAAACATATTATGGACATATTAAAGAGGATAACACTTTTGTAGCTTTACCAATTCCTTGCTATATAAATTTTATTTCCAAGTTTGTACCTTACATATGTCGATCAAAAACGTACTAGATAAGTAGATACACAATCAGCGACAAAAAATGTCCTCACCTTTTTTTTTTTTGTGAAAACAACTTTAAGCATTGCATTTAAGGTACAATTTACATTGTTGTATATTTATTTATCCTAGAATAATTACCTAAACACAATTCGTGACAGTTTTAGAGAACTATATTATATACATATATATAGGAGATATTTCAATATAATTAAAAAGATGTAAGTATTAAAGAGTAATTTTTCGGTGGTATGTTAAGCTAAAAAATAAAAATGGCCAGTGTGACCAAATAACTACTATTATGTTTTCAATAACAACCATTCTACTATAAGACCAAAGCTGGACAAAATGGAGAGATGTAACAGAAAAATCTACAAATGCCTTATTAGTGTTAATTGTATTCAAATAATAGTTTCCATTTTTTCATATATTAGCAATCTTTACCTTAATTTATCTCAGATATATGATTTCTTAGAACAGCGGTTCCTAAATGGTGGTTCGAGAAACCCTAGTGTAGAAATATGTGAAAAAATGTCATTAATGACATTTAGTTGTTAGGTTATATTGTTGGTACAATAAATATTATTATAAGTATAAATATTTTTCATTTATGGTTTGTGTTTTCAAGTCAAACAAGAAAGTGTCCTAACTAAAACACAAACAGTTTAGTTATTATCAAAATGAGGAACCGTTAAAAAAGTTATGATCAATTAGGGTTCCGTGGCCAAAACAAATTGACAACTGTTGCCTTATAACATTATTAAGCTCTCTATTCATACATATCATATGTATCATTGTATTGCTACTTTAAATCAAAATTAATATACATTTCCACATAAAATAGTGCTAATATTTGCAAGGGTGATAATATTTATCATCTTTTATCTATACTTTTCAATGATTTTTGGATTATATTGATACACTGGGTCTAATGAAATAGATATAATGCTTGCTAGTTCTTAACTAAGTTACACCACATTAATTCCACTTTGTGAAGTGTTGTTTTATTTTTATATCCATAACAGGATAACAAAAACAAACCTATTCCAAGGAAATCATACATTTTTCTGGGATAAAAAGTAGCCTCTGTGTTATTCCAGACTATAACCTATCTCTGTGTAAAATTTCATCCAGATCCGTTCAGCTGTTCTGGTGTGAAAGAGTAACAAACATCCATACTCACAAACTTTCACATTTATAATATCAGTATAGATAAATTCTTGTGTATATTTCATTAGGATACATGAAAAATTATATAATTTACCATAGTCCAGTATCTGTGACTTCAATTTCATGAATATAAAAATTACCCATCTCGTCAATACTAGCTAACACTATCTGATTAGGAATGTGAGCAAATGCTAGGTCTTGAACCTGAAAGTAAAACAGTTTTATTTGTTTAAAAAGATATTCTATATTAATATTAGATAAGATATATTTATAATCATGCATATTACTAATACTAACCTCTCCCTTCATACCCTTGATAAGGGTTCTCCTATCAATACCTGGCTCCGGATTATATACAACACGAACCATACCATTCCATGTGCCAGGGTTAGCTGGATTGGGTGCTGAGAACATGTCAATGTTCATTTTAAATGAATAAAAAATATGTATATACAATTTTGTTTAAAAATTTATTAACTATTTTTTACCTAATATTTTGTTTTATTGTTACATACCTTTGATACTATAGGCCAAATATTTTCCACTTATGTGAACAGCTAATAACTGTCCAGGGTAGAACTTTGGTTCCCAATTATAGTCTACAAGGTTTTTCAACTTAACTTTGGAGCTACCATGGTTATGGCTACCAGCATTTGTGGTAACAACCACATCAGCTGCATAAACTTCAGAACTAGACACTCCATCACCCTCTGAGAATGATCTAAAATAATCATATTATTTAATTTTTAGATCAATAATTTGGAAGTATAATATTATCTACCATATGATTACTTCAAATTTAATAAAATAATTCGAAATAACTTTTATTTCCTATATTAAAGGCACTTTAGCTTAAATAAATTAAATTTAAAGCCTATTATATTTCAATAAACAGGTTAGGTATAAGGAAACATGTTTCATAATAAAAAAAAAATATTATTTTTAATTACACAATACAGTAACGTATTATAAAGAACATACATAGTAATAAGTTAGAAAAGTTTTGTGGAATTATCACAGCAATTTTAAATTAGAAGTTACTCACATTGTTTGAGTTGTATCTGTTAGTTTCGGAAGCATAGTTGTTGGCTGCATTTTTGCATCAATCCTCAATTACACACATTAAATATAAAAATCTGAGTCAATTTAGTAATGTGACAGTAGTTGTAACTAAAAGTTAGTCTAAAATTTTCGCAAACGCTACACTGAAGCCGACCGACATTCGACATATAGGTCGCGTTTCGTTTCTTGATTTTAATTTTCATGTTTCATCGAATTTTTAAGTTAATATGTATGAATACAATTTTTCATGCTGAATTAAATTTACAAAGCTGACGGTTTTGAGTATTTTTCGTTACTTAAAAATAATTTATTATATTATATAGTATTAAAGATTAAAATTTAGTAATCTGTATTAATTCTGTCATTTATTTGTCTCACCTAGGTACTTATATAATCTACATTCAGATTTCAGAATAATTCTGACAGCTGACAAAGCAGTGAATTGATTTTCTGAAAATGGTAAAATTTATTACATTTTTTCATATTTAAGTATCATTAAAATAAACTATAATTATATAAAAATGAGCGTTGCCATTGCAGTCGTTGGCGGACAAGATAAATATGCTTATGGCCCGGCCAGGGCCAGAAAATGCCCAAAAAGATGACGTTCCCTGGTGGATGCGCTACGCTGCTCGAGGGTTGGGGACAGTTGGCAGTTCCAGTATGTATTGTTTTTTATTTGTCTCCTTGCTCCTTATTACATTCAACAACTTTATTATAGTAATATGTAAATGTAATATATGAATAAACTAGAAGGCGTCTTCGAACTCTTTATCTTATCACACATTTTATTGTTCAAAGTATCAGTTAGAAGAGAAAGGTGATTTTTTGTAAATAAAAACATTTATTCATTAATGCTATTAAATATAATTATTTAAAGTGGTATTAACATATTAAGTATTCTGACTATTATAAAAGTAATCATTCCTAACATGATAGATGGAATAACACAATACATGTAAAATGTACAGAGGGAAACATTAATTAGTGTATAATTAATTGAATAAACTGTAATTAGCTAGTCAAATTATATAATTATACTATGAATTTATATGTATACTAGCGACTCACCCTCACTTCACTCCGGTTTGCCTCTAGGCAAACGAAAACAAATCTATCGCAAGAGAACCGTACATTTTTCCGGGATAAAAAGTAGCCTATTTGTTATTTTGATGTATGAACTGTATTATTGTAAAGTTTAATTAAAATCCAATCAGTAGTTTCGGTGTACTAAGCTGTATAAGTTACTATAGTTTTTTAACTGTCCCACGAGAACTCTTTAATTTTCCGGGATGCAACGTATCCAAAATGTTGACCGGGGATATAAGGTACCACAATGCATAATTTCATTTAAATCGGTCCAACAGTTTCAGAGATTAGCCTATACAAACAGACAGAGAAACAAGAAATTTAAAAAAATCTGGATTTGTTCTATTTCTCTTCTTACATTCCCCTGACTCGATTTTAAGCATTTTTTTCTATGAACTGACATTCAACCTCTACAGTTTTATTATATGTAAGATGTAGAGCTTGCCTACTTCTCTAAAAATATATTTAATAAATTAAAAATTTAAAGAAACCCCTACGCAAATTAATTGTGATTTAACGATTACACTGGCATGCGTGAGGCACTTAATCAAGTAATCATACACCAAACTGCCTTACATAATCTTGGAAAAGAGCTGATACTCTAACACTGCTTGACCAATATTAACCAAATATAGCTAAGAACCACCGCAAGAAAACTGGCTTTCAAATTAAAAAAAAACATCAAAATTGGTTCATCCGTTTGAGAGCTACTATGCCACAGTCACACATACAGACAGACATCGACGTCAAACCTATATTTATACAAAATATAGTTAATGTCTATTTATAATAATTACAATCATGTTTTCTGTATTAAAAATTACAAGATTAATATAATTGAATGCTTACAAAAATGAATCAAGCAATAGTTCTCTTAGACACTTACAATATTTCATAATTTGTTTTAATTTTCCCTTAATTACAATATATTTTTCAGATATATAGACAATATTTATTAAATTAATAGTCCTTAGTAGTTATTTCTTATATTTAATCTATTTTAATCTTTTTAAAATGTAGTGTCCTCATAATTTTATCTTTTGTTTGGAAGAGCTTCATGATAAAGGTGATTTGAATTACTCTTATATATATTTTTATTAATTAAACACACATACTAAAACAAGTGACATGTTGATGAAAGATAAATATTTACATATATTAGATATATTTAATTTATTCTATGTATAATTTCTTATTACAATGTACAGATAAATTATATTATTGGTCATAGCATACTATGGTGAAAAAAAAACCATTCCTATATGTTGCTTTATTGATGTAAAAAAAAAACAAACCATGAAATACACTTTCATTTATAGAACTCTCTAAACTAAACTCCACTAAAGGTAACTATTAATTTTATGTGTAACAGACCTATTGTACGAAATGTAAATTATTGATACTATTGTTATTCAAATTCCTTCATGAAGTCCTAACACTAGCAATGAAATTTTCCTTATAGAGGTATTATCAAATTGTTTGTAACAGATATGTGGGGTGTATAGGTCTGTAGTTAATATTACTAAAGCTTCTTAACAAAATATGTTGAGAACTTTTAAATGTAGTGACAAGCACGCACACAGAGTATTGATTATGCACAAAACGAAAATGGGTATCAATGTAAAATACCAAAATGAAAAAAAGGAGGTGTAAGTGCAAAAGATATATCAAATAAGGCTTCTAAGAGAAGCCGCGAGTTCCTATCCCGAATTATAGCTCAATAATAGCGTGCGCATTTGACAAATCAAGTCTATCGGGTTCGAATCCTGGGTATAGCACCGTTTATGCCTTACGATAACGAAGAAAATAATAAGGATTAACTTGCTTGTCCCCGAGAACCTAACGAATTTTCGAAAACTATGTCCGCCTTGGCCAAGTTGTTGGACTGTAGCCTAATACCTTTTAATGTTGATGGGACGCCCATTACCAGCAGTGGGAAATTAAAAAGGGCTGAATTCAACATAACAAAATATATATTTTTATTAATAATTTTCTTTCAGTCGCCATATTCATGGGTCTATTTAACTGCATCAGTATAATAATGATGAATGTGGACTGTTTGATTGCGGGCGTGTGGCAGATGCTGGCGGGTTTCCTAGTAATTATAAGCGAGGCTCCATGCTGCTGTTTCTGTATAGACTACGTACAGACATTATCAGATAAGATCGAGACCCGGCCGTACTGGAACAAAGCAGCCTTGTATATGGGGTAAATATGGTCAATTATTCTTAAAATTGTCAATTTTTTTTTATAATGGCTTATAGTGCGTTAACGGACGCAATCTATTCTGCCAGTGTCACGTTTTGTGAGGAAGACACGAATGAGATGAGCGATAATTTTGAAATTTACTAACTTCAATGTGGAATTAAAACTATAAATGAATGATCGGTCTACAAGAGTAACCTACAACAATAGAAAAATAATTATGTAATACAAAAAATACAAATTTTATTTAATAATAACAAAAATGATACATTGATTGAAAATGAAAGTTATGAGGACTATAATATAATGTAATTTTATTATCTTCTATAAGTTTAACTCGTTTTTTAATATGTCAAGATATTAACACACAACACCATCTAGTTCCATGGTAAGTTACGAGACTTGTGTTATGGATACCAGATAGTTGATACATTATACATATATAACTTTTAAATACATACACATTATAAATATAAACACCCATGACTGGAGTACAAACATTCGTGCTCAGCACACAAATGAATGCCCCCAGCGGGACTCCAACCCGCGACCGCTGGCGCAGCAAGTAGGGTCACTACAAACTAAGCCAAACGTGTCGGCGTGTGTGTTTGTGTTTTTTTTAATAAATGGGTTAAATTCGAGGGCTAATAAACATTTTGTGTTAACTGGGCGGTGAATTTAAGGAGGGATTATATTATGTAGCGAATATTTCAATTTGGGACAATTAAAGAGAATATGATCAGTAGAACCCTCACCAAAGTAACATTCACAGGCAATTATTATTACTCGTATTTGTAACGCGACCTTTCATTTGATAGGTCGCATGATATTGATTGACAAATTTTTTTTCTACGTCTTAATTTGTTTTAAACAAATGACCGACTGTCTCAGAATTCGTTTATTTACGCTATTTTAAGTTTTGGTTTGGTTAGTGCAACCCGGACCGTATTTTTATTAATTTAGAAATGTTGAGTAATGACAAGGTAGAGTCATAAAAGATCATTTTTTCATTGATATATGAAGCTATTAATTTCTTAAATGTATAATTTAATTATATGTTATGTGTTTTTATTACTATTAAATCTTATTAAATTAATTTTTAGGTTGGCGTTGCCCCCCTTCTTTATGTGTTTCTTCAGCGTGAGCACGTGGTTGGGTAGCGGGCTGATATTCGGCACTGGCATTCTATACGGCATGATGGCGCTGGGAAAGAAGTAAGTTTACGTTATAATAGAAGAAAATTGCCTTCATTATTGATTATTGTCCAATTATTATGAGAAAAACTAGTATATAAAGACATATTATGTATTACATTAAATTGTTCCAAAAGGGCTCAAATTTTATTTGATTTTTGATTCTGACAATTCGAAAACTGCGTTACTTTCAGAAATAATTTACATTTTCATATTTATTTGCTATATCTATTCTCTATACAATGTATGCAGATCAAAAAAACATTTTTTTATATAACTATAACATGATTCATTCGTTCCCCTGCAATTTGTCACAATATTTCTCATAATAATTGTGGGCTATACGTTTTTATACTGTACTAAGTGAGTGGATATCGTTTGGTGATTTACTAATACATATGTATTTTAATTCTATGTGAACCTAAACCAGTTTTAACTTTCAATATTAACACATTGATTTTCAAATTAATGTTAAATATATATATTTTCAATGTAACAAGATATTATTAAAGGTTTTTTGGGGTTTTCGTATAGAGATAAAAGTATGTCTTATAACAATTTATAATTATTTATACGAACATAAAGAGTTAAAGAGAAAAATTAATATTTATAATGGATTTTTTGTTGTTGTTCTAATATTATTTGTATATATGTTAACATTTCATTTATATATACATGTGATATGGATTAACTGCTTAATTGTAATTAGAAAATTAATAATTTTTAAACCAAGAACAAACTAAAAAAAACTCTTTAAAAACAATCTAAAATTTATTTCTCTATGGGAGAAAAGTTTTTTGAATAAAAAAGGAGATCATTTTGAACTTTAATTAGCGTAACGTACAGGCCGAAAAGAATCTATATTGAGATATTTTTTTATTAAAAAAAAAGTAATTCTATGGATTATCCATAACACATGTAACTGGTCGACTAATCGGGCGAGGCTAACGGTAACCGGCTAACGGGTTAGGGGTACGCGGGACGACATGGCCGCGATGGCGGCGGGCGGCACCACGCCCCCCGGGGCTCCGCTGGCGGCCTCGCAGGACCACACCGTCACCCTCATGGAGGACCCTGACGTGTGGCGTCCTAACTAAGGCAATAGATCATCTGATCGCTTGCATGGCCTTTGCTTTTTGCATGCTGTAGTTTATTGTTAGATAGCAGCGAAGCTACCACGCGCACACAATTCGAAAATATTTTATTCAGCATTAAATTATATATTATTACATTTTTTTTACTAAACGTCACGAGTCTACCACCAGTTCGGAAAGAAAAAGCCTCTGTCCTGTGAGGAACTGGCGAAAATAGTCCGATTTTTATTTATTTATAAGTTGTATGATAGCTAGTGTTTTGATAGGCTACAGTTTTTTTATTATTTTTATTAATATAAACTTTGGTGCTAGTTCTTGGCATGATGATCGCAGGTTCGATTACGACGCATGTAATGTTACTTTTACTGTACAATTCAAATCCAAACATAACATTTTTTTATCTGATAGCAATTATTTTAGAAATCACCTTTAATTTTTTTTCACTTAAATATTATGTTAAGGCACATTAAAAATATAATAGGCACCTGTGATTATTATCATATGATTGACTGACGCTATTTATTTATTCAATTACTTACATATGCTACCTTTATCTCATAATTCCTAAAAAGTAATGTATGTAAATGTGTTAAAGCATTTTATCTCATATTTTTATCTTTTCTATTAATATATAGATAAGTACAGCTATAAATGAATCACACTTCAAATCTAATAACATCTAGTTTATTGGTAACTACTCTCATAGTAAAACACCTTTGTTTTATATATATATATATATATATATATATATATATATATATATATATATATATATATATATATATATATATATATATATATATATATATATATATATATATATATATATATATATATATATATATATAGTCAATAAAATGCAAAATACATCACAATAGGGAATATGCGTGATTTTTTTAATTTATACATCGTTATATATAATTGTAAAAAATATCCAAGTCCAAAAAACAATTTTTTTTGAAGAATTTATTAAAATATACGGATACTTTAAACGCCTGCTATCGTGACGTCATCTATACTAATATTATAAAGAGGTAAAATTTGTGAGTTTGTAACGTTGTAGGGGGTAATCTCTGGATCTACTGAACCGATTTAGATGAAATTTGGTAAGAAGATAGTTTAAGACCCTGGGAAGGACGTAAGATACTTTTTATCCCGGTAATCATCCTTAAGGGGGTGAAAATAGGGATGAAATTTCGTATTGAAAAGCAAGTAGTCTATAATAACAGAGGTTCTGTTATATACTTTGATTTTGATTGACTTTGTTATAGACTTTGACGTCACATTCAGTCTGACCAATGGCGTTGATTTTCAAATACTTTGAATTTCCTACCTATATTGCACTTTTTAATAATTATTTTCTTAATCAAAAAAAATATTGATATAGGCTTAATTCAAAAGCAATAAATTATAAAAAAAACATTATACCTTTATTTACATAAATCACACGCATAATCCCTATTGTAGTGCAAATGCAAATTTACCTTTTTTTCAGTCGGCTTGAAATATTATTTCGCACAATTTTCCCACTACTTTTAGCCAATTTATTATAAGTTCAATATCAAATTGCAGAGGGTCAATAGATGACATGAGGACGTCGGCTGCCAATCTCGAAGCTGGTGTCGGACAGCCGACCACCGCGCCTAAGGCCAACCTGGTGACCAATGAACAGCCCTTCAGCTTCACAAGACCCCCGCAATGATGTGAGTTACCCAATATTGGTACGACCAATGTTATTTGATCCTATATTGTATTTATTCTTGATAATATTTTAAAGATCTACTTATAATGGTCTGCCATTTTATTCGTTTTGATAGTAGAGATGGAATAATTTATATTATTTCTATTGTTTCTAAATAAAATTTTATGGCAATTATGTCTTTTGGTTTTCAAATACTGGCCTATTTTTGTAGTTCTCTTCTTCTGTCTAGATCAATTTAAATCAAATAAATGTATGTGATTATTGAATTGGTTTCCATGTTATTTAATTATTGAAATGGTTTTCATGTACCTTTATATTATAGTATAATATGTACAATCTCCAGTGTTACGACTGTTTTGAGGCTTATTACATTCGTATAACTTAAGAAGAGTGTTTTGCAAAATATTAAATAAATTCTGCTTGAAATATCATATCAGATTAAAAAAAATGACTTTAAAAAAAAAAGTAATTAATAATTTGCATTATTTTTGATTTTATAAATTCATAAAAATCTAAGAAATTACGTTTTTTTATAAACATATTGATAGTGTATTTGGTCTTAAGAGTGGTCACTTGTTATGTCATGTCCTGCTATTTAAGGTGTGTGTGTATATAGGTGTATTAATAGTTCTGCCAAAATATATAGAATAAAGGCAGCTTTTCACGTATAATTATAATATAAATAAATATATAAGTTTAGACAGTCATTCGACATATCCAGATTGTTGCCATTGTTAAAAATTCACAATAGGAAGAATTAGCCGCATATTATAGATTTTTTCTCATATTTTGCGATTTTTTTAATTAAATTTATTCCTTATTTATTATTTTTTAAATGCTTCAACTAAAAAAATCTATAATGTGCCATTGTTTTTACCAAACTCGTATTATTTTCATTTTTTCTGTAATATCATTATTAAATTTATGAAAGCTTAAACTTAAATCATAATATAAATTGTTATAGTTATATAATTAGTTACAATGATATTTATATTTACACAAGTTATGTGTTGTGTAGGAGAAATGTCACTGTCATGCTCATAAAAAAATATATTAGTGTAATGATCTCCAAATAGAAAACCTGGCGTCCTCCACATTGTGTAATGCCAAACTTTACCTTCATTTTTTATCTGTCTTGACAAGTTCGATTTTGAACTTTTTTAATTTTGCCATTGACTGCTACCGTATTTCACTGATCGACTTTTTTTAATGTTACGATATATTGTTAATATGAGGTTTAGTTGTTATAATTTCTTTTGAAAAAAAAAACGAAAAATATTTATTTTTGAAAAAACAAAGTAAAAAAACCGCAAATTATTTTGCTATTTTTACTTTTTTTACTTACTATATTAGTAAAGTTCAAAATAAATGCTAAAGAAAGTCGGATATCTGTCGTTTTGGATTTGGTAAAAATGTAAAATAAATGATCAACAGCGTCTTTGAGAAGTAATAATTTTTGATAAAAAAAAGTTCATTATTTGGACCAAAATAAATACTTATAAATAACACTTTGATTTTTTTCGTTGGTCTTGTATGGTTTCGATAAAAAAATCGTATTTTTATCATATCATTTCTTTTTCTGATTAAAAAAAAATATATATTATTATCGTTTTGCGACATAACCGTGTCAAAACTTATAAAATTATATATACATATGTTTTAGATAGCTAAATGTATAGTGACATATATTAAGCATTAATATAGTCATCTAACACTTTATCTCCCTTTTGAAATTGCAGTTTATACTGTAATATTTCATGTCGTTAAAACTATCCAATTATGACCTTAGCAGATACATTTTAATTAAAAAAAAATGAATTAAATCGAAGGTAATGGCGTGATTTAATTTAGAAAATTAAACTTCTATAATTTAGAAAATATAACTTCTATGATACTTCCGAATTATATTTTTTTACTTGATTTTGTTAACATAATTATGTAATAAATTGTCTTTTAAAACATTCCAATTAAATTTTTGGTCTCAATATTCGCCATTTATTAGTGTTTAATTTGAAAATACTAACACGCGAATTGAAGACACTAAATTAAGTTTTTTTAGGATCTGTATTGTAAGAAACAAGAAGGGTCCATTATACAATACCATACTTCTCTCTTTTATGTTTAAAATTTGAATCTTTCTTAAATAATGCTGCGTTTTAATGAAATTTATCTTCTTTCTATTATTAATAAAATTTACTATGCATAGAGAAAACCATGTCAATTTTTGACTGCCTCCCATCAAATAAGTCTTTTAGGTGTTTCCCATAGATTAAATTCGTATTGGAACAAATATTTCATATTCTTCATATTTATTTCACCATCTTTTTACAACACATAGAGGATTGATCACTGACCAGGGCCGTGCGGTGCAATAATGCAAAGAGGCGGCACAAAGTAGAGACCACGTTTGGAGCTACAAATACCCCAATTTCTCATGCTCAACTCATGTGGACTCATTTTTTTTTCTGAAAGAGAACTCCTTTTTTTCGTAATATGATAGAATTGCCTAGCAACTGCCATGATATACCTACCTAGATTTCAACAATATATAGCTCTAATTGTCCCTGAGTAATATTACTGTGACATATGGACGGACGGACAAATTATAAGGATATCGTTTTTGCCTTTCCGTAGGTAGATGAAAATTACCTAGGGGTGGCATTTCTAAAACTTGCATCACATGGAAAAAATCTACCGCATGGCCTTGGGATTGGTAGTAGAACTTGTACATTTATATGGATCACGATATAACGTTAAATGTTTCTTACTATGAGTATTCCAAATTAATCGTTCAAATGAAATCTGTTAATTATCACTTGTTACTGATTGATATTTTTGTAACATATAGATGAGAATAATTGAGAAGTATTATTGCATATAGAAAAGGCCCTAGTCTTTAGGTAATGTTATTTCTAGGTTAAAGACTTTGCTCACACAGTCAATAGCTGCGTCAGTGTTGCCAGTATAATTTGGTTCAATAAATACTATAGTTTTTTTTTATTATTTAAATTACTACTGGCAGCATTTTCGTTTTACGTTTAGTGCGTGCTTCCCCATATTGTTTATGTTATGATTATCTTGCTTTGATAAAACTACATAATATGATTATTTATTTTAAGTGTAATCGATATTTATTTTATTTGTAAACTTGTATATGTAATATGTTTATGCTGCTTCCCAATTAAGTCACATATATATTTAGTGTTTAAGTTAAAAACTCATGCAAATAACATTGGACAAATAACAACTATGTAACTTAAATTTTCAAGTTTTATTTAAACAGTGCAAACTTATTAATGTTAGAATTATATTTATTGAATATAATCTTTTCTTTAGATTTTAGTTGATGAGCAATATCGATCGTTATATTATATTTTAATAGATTTGCACTCTTCATATATTCATGCCTTTACAAAAGTATTCAGAAAAATTATGTATATTTTTTTAAGGTTTGATAATTATAATTATTTGATAAATATAAAAACTTGATGATTTTTATTTACAATAATCATTTGTGTTGATGCAAAAAGGCAAGAATATATGTGAATACATAATGTTAAAAAAAATTAACTCTTATATCATAATGTAATAGTGTCTAATAGAAAATATAGGGTTGTCATTTTATGCTAATAAGAAAATTGTCTTAATAATTATTTTTTTTATATTTGGCATAAACTGGCACTTGTATGTTACAGGTAGCTTGCAATGGTTAAGTATAGTCAGTAGATATATTACTGCATTGTTCTTGTCGGTTAATGTTTAGGAAAGCATATCTGTAATAAATGTGTGTATATTGAGAGATTTTGTTTTATTTTCCTGTTCCACCTATAAGGTATGAATTAGCAAAAATTAATTACTAAAAATAAGCAGGTCATCAAGTGACTTAAGTATTTTTTAACACGAAACAAAGTATTGAAAGTATAACTCATTATAAATTAGGTACTGTATAATTAATAGTCCGGTCAAAATAGACATTTCAAATAACAAAAATTCCGATAGGGCTGAATTTTGGTAGAAACCTTGGGTATATCAGTAGAAATATAGCGCCAAAAGTCTCCATCGATCCCATGTGTGTTAAAAAAGTTATTCAAAGGTCAATATTTTCGGTTTTTTGGATTTTACTCAAAAACTAAGTTTTATCAAGAATATACTTCAGATAAAAATTGTAGGTCAAATCTTAATACTTTTTTCCTAACAATCACCATTCCTAAGATCGCGATTCTAAAAGTTGAAAGTGTTACATTCTACATGACATGCACACAAATGCCACATAATATATACATAGACAATATAAATAAAAATGCCTATTTGTCTTTTATATATTATATATTCTATAAATGCCTGGCCTAATGACTTAAAAATTAATGGGGGGTAGGGGGGTTAAGAATACTTAACTACATATTCTCATACTTAAAAATAATTCATTAAATCGGTCAAGCTGTTTTGGAGGAGTACATATATAAATTAAAGAAGATACAGCGTAACAGACGGCCTTATCGCTAAATGAGTGATCTGTCCAGGCGAACTTTGTGTAGAGAGAAAGAAAGAGAAAGTACTATCATGGGAAAAAGAAAAACGATTAAAATTAAAGGAATAACCAGTGAAGTAGTAAATAATACAATGCTTAAACAATATCAACACATTTTTATTTAAAGAATATAAATATATACATTTTTTATATCTTACATTTTATATATTTTAATAATACCATGCTTTTACAGTACACAATGTATTTCCTGGACATTAAGTCCTTTAATTGGTATCATTTAAAAATGAAGAAAAATATTTTGTTTGCAAAGATATTAGACTATATAAATGAACTTTAACACACTTAATAATTAAACAAGAGATTATTTTAAATTAGTGAAATTGGCAATAAAACCTATGTTACTGAAAATATACCAATAAATTTTCCCTATGCCTTTTGTTTAAAAACAGCACCAGTTATTGTTCCATGTCTTTGTATCAAGCATATTTTATTATCCGTTTCCAAGCAAACAGTGGGAGGCTTCAAGTTAGGTTGTATTTTGCAAGCTTGTTCTGAAATCGCAACGATAAGGCCTGCTGAATCAACGTGAGCTGTGCCTTTTGACGCCAAACAAAGTCCTTGGTGGTCTGCCACTAAGCAGCCACTTACGTTAGGAGTTGTCATAATCTCTTCTACAACTTTATCGAGTTCTTTTTCCATATCTGCTATTATTTGTATATTTAGTTAACAGAAATGTTTTGATTAGGTTTTTCATTTGTTAAAGTCTCGTATCAAGTGTCAACTGTCAATTGTATGTCAAAAATTAAAAATATTTTTATTTCAATATATATATACGTTTCATTTCACGGAGCTTTTATTCTTTATGATAAGATTCCATTAATGGTAATGTCGGAAGTCTAAAAATACTGTAAGTTCGATATAATTAGTGATATCTTTACTTAATTGTCATATGTAGATAAACATCATGTTTTGGTCTATTTTTTTATAAATCTATTTGCTTGTAGGTAATATTCTTAAATTTATTACATTAGTTTTAATAGGACTTTTTATTTTACATCTTTATGGAAATGTGTAAATTTTAATAATAAATAATGAGATACCTACTTATTTTTTGTTATTATTTTGTATAATACGCAGTATGTAGTTATAAAATATAAGATAATTTTAAAATTTTTGTTTGTCAGTTAGTCAAAAACGTCGGGAAGAATATAAATGAATTTTATTTTATGTTGTATAAATGTGTAAATGAGTATCAATACACTAATAACAATTTAGATGTCTTGTGTATATTGTATTCAGGCTTTTTTAACGTCCTACTATTGAACACAGGCACAGATTAAATAGACTATGAGCACATGTCTATATGGGAATCAGGATCTGCCCAATAGCAGAGAAGAAAAAGAATTATTTAGATATATTTAATAAACTAAAAAAATATTCTGTCCTTCATTTTTCGTTCGCGCGCAATGATCAATTTTATTTAAACCACAAAATTTTGTCTCTAAAGTCTAGCTAACGACAGCTACATTATTTCACGTAGTTATGGTTAGAAACAAGTAGGTACTGCTTTACCACAAAAGAGCTTTTATGTATAATTTTGTCAATTTACCTAGGTATGAAGCAACTACAAGTTCCCGTTCAAGGTAATTATAATTATTACTAAATATACTTTAATACTGCCATTTTACATATAAAATAAAAAAAATGCATGTAGTATCTATATACAACCAAATACAGAGGTTTTCCGAACTTATCAAAATAAAGTCTTCTTACTCGACTTGTGATTTATAAAAACTAAAACCTTTAAGTATCTACGTGGCAATCAAAAAAGAACAAAATTGAGTACATGTAAATATTAAGGTTATAGCATACTTTTTATCCCGGAAATCATCCCTTAAGGGGGTGAAAGTGGAGATGAACGTTTGTATGGGGAATCAAGCTAGGGATGAACGCGAACGAAGCGAGGGTGAATCGCTAACAAATAATAAAATCTACATAGGTATATATATGTATATATATATATATATATATATATATATATATATATATATATATATATATATATATATATATATGATGATGATGATGTTCTCCTGACCGATTCCGGCCACGGCGGCCAATCTCATTGAGACTAGCCAACTGCGCAGAAGATATTATAGTGCTCAAGTGTACGCGCAGACACAAGTGCACTCTCTATTCCTGTCACTCTCATACTCCGATGGGACGACTACTCGACACGACCGGTGAGAGATAAGGCGCAGGACCGACAGCTTTACGTGCTCTCCGAGGCACGGGGGTGAAACACCGCCAACTTCCCAACTCCGGGCTATTACTGAGTCTTTCTATACAGAAAGACTCAATAACTAAACTTGGCCCGACCCAGGACTCGAACCCAGGACCTCCAGGTGTGCAGCCGTACATGCTAGCCGCTACACCACCGAGGCAGTTATATATTTATTATATATATATATATATATATATATATATATATATATACATATATAATAAAATTAGCATTGACCGCGGCTCCGCCCGCATTCAAATGATCAAAAACCAATTTCTTAGGTTTTACATATTAGTATTAGTACATATTAGTACTCTTACATTGCAGTTTTTGTATTTTTTCTCAGAAATGAGACATTTTCGAATGAATTCGAAAATCCGAATTCGGTTAAACCGAATGTAAAACAAATTTCGGCCCATCCCTAATGAAAACGTACCTAGGGACGAACCCGAGCGAAGCGAGGGTGAGTCGCTACTCGCTATTCTACTATAATATTATGATAAACAAAAACAAGTAACGTATGCAGTTTCACAGAGGCTGAGGGCAATGCACGCATTAATTACAAAATAATGTTGTAAATACATTTTATTGCGGCATTCAAAGGTTGCTATTTATATCTAGGTATAATATTAATAAAACGTTAGGGAAAGTTAAAGTATGTAAATTTTAAACTTGTAAAACTAACCATTATGAGAAAAAGTTATGTACACAAATCACTTTTTTCTTCTATAGTTTAGTCCTCATGCTTTTCCGCTCTACAAACGGTCTTATAAGAATAACTAAGTCTAAAAGAGGCATATCTCCATCATTTTAAATAGGATACCTAAACCTAAAATGGATGAACAGGATTCAGGTATTTTAAATTATCGCTTAACTTACAAGTTACAATACAAGTGCTAATAAACAATTAATAATATATCTGCTTACATGGAAATGAGTAAAATGACAGTTTGAAATGTGAACTTACGAGTATATGTCGACTAGCGACTGACCCTCGCTTCGCTCAGGTTCGTCCCTAATTACGTTTTAACGTTTATCATAGACTAGCGTAATCCGCAGCTTCGCCCGCGATCAAACTATGAATAAGACACTTTTTCACAATACACACTTGGGGGTAGAATTTTGATAAATCCTTCCTTAGTGGACACCTACGTCATAAGAGGAATACATGTGCGAAATTCTAAGTTTCTAGCCCTAAGGGTTTAGCCTATGCATTTATTTAAAACTTTCATCCCTATTTTACCCTTTTAGGGGTTGAATTTTAGAAAACACAGAAATACGTAACTTATATACATTATTTTTGCCGTAGGTATTCAATTCATTCGAAATGTCATGAAAATATATCAAAGGAATAAAAAGTTTCATACATATTTTTATTATCAATATATATTATTTATATATATATATATATATATAATATATATATATATATATGTCGTGTTATACATATACTACGAACATCATCTTTAGTGGCCCTACTCATCTTGTGCGGCGTTATCAGGGCTCAAATAATAAAGTCATTCAGTGCTCAATACACAATTTAATCAGGGAAGTCACAATGTTATAAACTTGAAACGGTAATTCTAATGATTTAGAGCTAGCGGGTTCACAGTCACCGATCATCGACTTCCAACTACAATATCAAACATAACTCTTTATGATCCACAATGATCAACCAACGTACTAAGCCGCGTATCTGCTAAGAATGTCGTGATGGCGTCTCGACCCCGCTCGAGACTAAATCTCTGCTCTAAATTCAAATGCAATAAAAAGTAAATTAAAGATAAAGAACACAGTGACTTTAAACAATAATAAGGTTTCATAACAGAAAAAGGTAACTAAATCCTCCTCCGTCTTATATATATATATATATATATATATATATATATATATATATATATATATATATATATTATCTATATATATCATTTCTATTTATCCCCAATTTCACCCCCTTGGGGTTGAATTTTGAAAAATCCTTCTTCAGTGGATGCCTTCGTCATATGAGGAATACGTGTGCGAAATTTCAATTTTCTACCTGTGCGTTAATACATCAGTCCATCACTTTTGCCTTTTATATATATAGATTTCTTAGAAATGAGATATTTTCCCGCAGTAAAAAGTATCCTATATATTGACCCGGATAATCAGTTATCATCATACCAAATCATCAAAATTTGTTCAGTGAGCTTTCTCGTGATGCGATCCCAGACAGACGAAAATTCTATAAACTACAGATTCGGCCTCTGTATTAATAATAATGACTATATAAGATTTTCCAAAAAAACTTTAAGGTACAGATTCAACTCAGTTAGAATTTTATTATATGTAAGTATAGATTGATAGACGTACCTACTCGGCTAAAAAAAGAAATATGTAGTTATTATTTTAACAAAAATCTTGTCCGTGGTTTAAAAAAATATACATAAATTGGAATTAATATGGTTTCTGTCTTTCATACAGGCATCATAATATAGGCACTTGTTCGTATTACATATTATTTAAAATCGAAATTGCAGGCAAAATCTTGTTTTGCTTTTAATTAGTAATCTATACATATAATAAAACTGTAAGTAGATGTCGAATGTCTGTACATAGAAAAAAATGCTAATAAACGAGTCAGGGGGATGTAAGAAGAGAAATAGAACAAATCCCGTTTTTTTTACCTTTATTGTTTCTCTGTTTGTTTCTCTGTCTGTTTGTCTGTTTGTACGGGCTAAACTTCGAAAATGTTGGACCGATTTAAATGAAATTTTGAAAATTAACCTTATATTTCCGGTCAACATTTTAGATACTTTTCATCCCGGAAAATTAAATAGTTCCCGTGGGATAGTTAAAAACTATAGGAACTTATATAGCTTAGTATACAAAAACAACTTATTAGATTTTAATGAAACTTTACAATAATATAGTGCATACATCAGAATAACAAATAGGTTACTTTTTATCCCGGAAAAATGAACGGTTCCCGTGGGATAATCTGTTTGTGCTTTTCTAGAGGCGAATCCGAGCGAAGCGTGGGTGAGCTGCTAGTGGCATATAAAATGTATACTAAATAATTAATGCAATAAATATAGTCACGAATCGATATGAGATAATGGAAAGTTATTTCAATTAATATATCTATATATATAAAAGAGAGTCGTGTTAGTTACACTATTTATAATTCAAGAACGGCTGAACCGATTTGGCTGAAACTTGGTGGGGAGGTAGCTTAGAACCATGAGACGGACATAGGATACTTTTTAGCCCGTTCGACTGCGTTCCCGTATACAAGACTCAAGAACGGCTGGACCAATTTTTATGATATTTGAATTTTTGGATTTCTCTCATTCCGGAATAGGTGAATACCTAAGTATTTAAACGTCAGAAAAATTAACGAAAAAAAAAATATTTATATGGCTAATAACACTGG